ATCCGCCCGCCACCACCGCGCCGCACCGCCACCACCACCACCACCACCACCACCACCACCACCACCACCACCACCACCACCAGCACCAGCACCAGTACCAACACCACCACCAGTACCAACACCACCACCACCACACACCACCCACCACCACCCCACCATCACCACACCACCACCACACCACCACCACCACCCCAACCACCACCACACCTACCAGTACCAACACCTCCACCACCACCACCACCACCACCAGCACCACCACCACCACCATCCACCACCACCACCACCACCATCACTACCACCACCACCACCACCACCAACACCACAACACACACCACACACACAACACACACACACACACACACACACACACACACACAACGCACGCACGCACGCACGTGCACCACCACCCACTACGCACGCGCGCGCGGAGCCACAGGTCCGCTACGACACGCGTCCGCGGATAGAGAAAATCAGCGCCATGGTAAGGGATGGGAGGGAGGGGTAGGACGTCAGATATGACGCGAGCGCACCTAGCTTGCCCTCCTCCCCCTCCTTCTCCTCCTCCTCCCCCCCCCTCCTCCTCATGGGGTTATTGTCATTACTTCGACCCCTCCCCCTCTTCTTCACTCTCACACCACTCAGGTACCCATTCATGTTCATATCACTCATACCCATCACAGGGGTCCATCACAGGCCCACCCATCTTCACAGGGGGTCATCACAGACCCGTGTTTCCTTGCGCAGACTCAGCCACATCACTTCCTCATTTCAGACTCGTTCAGGTTCAGATTCACCCTGACACACTTAGGGGATTAGCCCCCGACGTGCCCTCACCAAAGCAAATTCGAACTATCTCTCCTCACCCCGACGCACCCCGACGCACTCCTAAAATTCCGGCTCACATTGTCGCTCGTAGCGCTGACTCCCCCAGCATCTACACGGGATGGGTACAGAGCCGCCCGCGCGCTCGCCGCCGCCGCGGTGCGCTCAGCCGAACAGGTCGAAGACCACGTCCTCGTCCTCCTCCTCCACGGCCGCGGTCTTCCCCTCCTCCTTCTTCTCGCCGCCGCCCGCCGCCGCCCGCCGCCGGCGCTGCGGCCACCGGGTTCGCCGCAGCGCACGCCTCGGGGTCCTCCAGGAACTTCTTGACAGGCTCCATTTCCTCCTCCTCCTCCTCAGCGGCCGGCTCCGGGGCCTTCTCCCTCTGCGGCGGCTTCTGGCGCGGCGCCTCCTCCTGCTCCTCGGCGGGCTCCTCCTTCCTGGCTGGACGGGCAGGGGGCCTCTGCGGTCTCCTCCTGGCCTGCTGCCGCCGGCCGCCGGCTCGTCCTCGTCCTCGTCCTCCCCCTCCTCCTCCTCCTCGACGCTCGTCGTGCGTTGCCTCCTGGCCATCGTCCTGACAGCCTCCTTTGGGCTCGCTCGTCACTCCGACTCATATTATCGCATTCCGACGCACTTCTCTTCATTCAGACGCATTCTGATTTTTCTGGTGGTCGATTGCCCACCGCGACATAGCAGGCGTGACACTCGGGCACCCCAGAAAGGGGGGGGGGGCGCCAAGGGCGAGGGCACTCCCTCCAAAACTCGCGCCCAGAGTGTGGGGATGTCTCGGGCGGTGTGTCTGTTTCTGCACCCCAGCATCGTTTGCGTTCAGCCCATATTGAGTGGATGTCTTGGGAGAGGCGCTGGCTTCAGCACTCCCACATGGGGGCGCCTGGGGCGAGGATGCGCCAGGACTCGCGCCAAGATGGTGGGGATGTCTCAGGCGGCTTGCCTGGTTCTGCACCCCAGGCGTTTCTCTGTTGGTGGTCCAATGCTCACCGCAATTTCGCATGCGTGGCACTTGGGCACCCCAAGGGGAGGGGGGGCGCCAGGAGTGCGAACACTCCAAGATTTGCGCCCAGATGGTGGGGATGTCCCACGAGGTTTGCTTGTTTCTGCCCCTTCGATTTTTTTGTGTGGTCCAATGCTGCCCGCGATCTAGCAGGCGTTGCAGTTGGGCACCCGTCAGGGGTGAGGACACTCCACAATTCGCGCCCAGATTTTGGGGATGTCTCAGGTGGTTTGCTTGTTTCTGCCTACAGACTTTTTTGGTTTGGTGGTTTAATGCCCACCTTGATATAGCAGGCGTAGCACGTGGGCACCCCAACGGGGAGCCGCTGCGGGCGAGGACACTCCAGGATTTGCGCCCTGGTTGCGGGGATGCCTCACGCGGTTTGCCCGTCCCTGCCCCCCAAACGGTTCTCGTGTGGTGGTCCAATGCTCACCTCGATATAGCACGCGTGGCACTAGGGCGCCCCAAGGAGGAGCCGCCAGGGGTGAGGACAGTCCAAATCTCGCGCCCAGGTTGTGGGATTGCCTTGCGCGGGTTGCCCGCTTCTGCCCTCCAGGCGTGTCTCTGGTGGTGGTCCAGTGTTCACTGCGATACCGCAGGCGTAGCACTTGGGCACCCCAAGGGGGAGCCCCCAGGGGTGAGGACACTCCAGGATTCGCGCCCAGATTGTGGGGATGTCTAACGCGGTTCGCCAGCTGTGATGATGATGATGATGATGATGATGATGATGATGATGATGATGATGATGATGATGATGATGATGATGATGGTGATGGTGATGATGATGATGGTGATGATGTTGATGCTGATGATGATGCTGATGCTGATGCTGATGCTGATGCTGATGCTGATGCTGATGCTGATGCTGATGATGACGATGGTGATGATGCTGCTGATGATGATGATGATCATGCTGATGTTGATGATGATTATGATGATGGCGATGATGCTGATGATGATGATGATGCTGATGATGCTGATGATGATGATGCTGATGATGATGATGATGATGATGATGATGAGGATGATGATTGATGATGATGATGATGATGATGATGATGATGATGATGATGATGATGATGATGATGATGACGAGGACGATGCTGATGAAGATGATTATGATGCTGATGCTGATGATGATGATGATGATGCTGATGCTGATGATCAGCATTATTATCTTTATTATTAGTATGCTTATTTCCATTTGTATGACGTTCATCATGGTAATGGCCACGGGGCCATTTTGGGCGTCTTGGACCGATCGTTCGGTGATTCGGGGCTTTCTTGGGTCGTCTTGAGGGCTTCTTAGGGGCTCTGTTGGCCCGTCTTGGGCTTCTCTTGGGCTCGAAAAAATCATGCGGGAACATTCTGGGGGCCCCAGAGGGCGCGCGGGGAGCTTCAAGAGATTGGAGAGCTTTGGGTCCGGGCCCATCAAGAATCCTCAGGCTTGTGGACTGAGGCTCAGGGGATTGAGCAAGGGACCTGGGGAAGCCTCTTGGGGGTCGTTTGGGGGCCTCTTGGGGTCTCTTTCGGGCCTCTTGGCGGCCTTCTGGGGCCTCCTGGGGGCTTTTGGGGGGCCTGTGGGCCCCCCCGCCCCCCAGCACTAAAAGCGTGGGGAATGGCGTCGCCCCACCCCCGTCCAGAGCCTCTTGGTGGCTTCTTCGGGGCCTGTGGGCCCCCCCGCCCCCAAGCACTAAATGCGTCGGGAATGGCGCCCCCCCCCCTCGCAGAGCGAAGCTTGAGCGAGCTCAAGTCCACGCTCTCAGAAACTCACACGCCGGATCGGCAGATCATTGTCCCTATTCAGACGCGCTCATTCGCACTCGGATTCTCTCATAGTATTCAAACTCGTTCATTGACATATTACATCATATTCAGGCACTCATGTCTATTCGCTCAAACTCATGTTCATTTAAACTTAGACTCACTCGCACCCAGACCAACTCACACTCAGGCTCACTCACACACAGACTCAACCACCGTCAGATTCGCTCATATTCAGACTACCTCGCACCCAGGCTCATCTATACTCAGATCTGCTGTCATCCAACTCAAACCCAGAGTCCCCCAAGCTCAGACTCCCTCACACTCAGACCCGCTCACACTCAGACTCGCCTGCATCGCACTCGGACTAACTTGATCCGGTCTCACCCACGAACAAGCTCCACTCGAACTCCGACTCGGTCACACTCAGATCACGCACGCGCAGACTCACCCGCACCAGGGCGCACATACAAGAGAGGCTGCCGCGACACAGCCGGCGTGGCACTCGGGAGCCCCAGCTGCCACCAGCAGGAGAACGAGCGCAGCAGCGCCATATGCGCGCTGGCCTGAGTTGCCGCGGGGACAACGGCAGGAGGAAAGAGGAGGAGGAGGAAGAGGAGGAGGAGGAGGAGGCGGAGGAGGAGGAGGAGGAAGAGGAGTTGTGTGTTCCATCGTCTGTAATGAGAGAGTTCCAGAAGAGGAGGACGTCACTGAAGTCATCGCTGTCGTCGTCGTCGTTGCCGCGACGGTCGTCTGCGCGGGCTCGCTGTCACACCCAGGTGCTCATAGAGAGCTCCTCCGCCAAACGTACAAGTTTGTCTTTGCCGCGTTGGCCAAGGAGCGTATGGTTTACTCGACAGGTATTGCACCCGTTCCCTTGCTCTACCGCTCTCCTCTGTAAGAAAACAAGTTGGACCGGAGAGCGTGCTCATGCCAGCGACCAAGCCGTGGTCGCAGCCGATGTGAGCCGAGCGGGTTCTCCCCCCGTACGGCACTGGAGAGCTACGCGTGGGGGCCAGCGCGATCTCGGCGACAAGTCTGCAGCAAGGCCTGGCTGCCAGGGCGCCCACAGTGACCTCCACAGTTGCCGCCTCGACGGTAGCGCAAGGTGCGGGACTGGCCAATGGAACTGGTATCAGGCATCGGCAGTAGGTCACGCTGCGGTATGTGACCAGCTGGCACGCTCATAGAAGCGACACACTTGCGCAGTCCGCAGCACGTGCCGCCCACGGGCCGATGTGCCTCCGCTGCTGTGCGTGTGTGTGTGTGTGTGTGTGTGCCTTCTTGGTGGGGAAGTTTGACGGGCGGGTGTGCGCTGCAGATGTGGCCCAAGCAAATTGTCTAGCGAATCCAGCGATCTCAAAACCCGCCACGCCCTCGGCGCGGCGCGATGTCCCCGCCGCCCCGCCGCTGCCGTGCGCCCCTGCCGCTCGCTGCGCTCGGCTGCGCGGGCCTCGCGGCGCGCGGCGCGCACGCCGCGCGCGCCCCCCCCGCCGACGCTCTCCTCGAGGCGGCGGCAGAGACCTCTGGGTGCGCGGCCGCTGTCGCGGGGGCGGAGGGCCGGCAGTCAGGGTGGCAGCGCGGCGAGGATCGAAGAGTGCAAGGTTGCATGAGCATAAACGTTCGGCGGTCCGCGCGGATCTTTGGGATCTTCGCAGGGCCCCCCTTGGCGGCGGCGCCGCTGGCGTCTCTCCGCGCGCCAGGGAGGGGGTCCAGCGCGGATCCAAGAAAAATCCGCGCGGAGCTGCGAAAGTTTGTATGCATGCGACTTTGTTCCCTCGCTCCTCCGGAGGAGTGCAAGTGCCCCAAGGGCACCTACCTCACGGGGCACGACCTCCAGTGCACCAGCATGCTCGACGCCTCCGACATCGACAGGTTCGGTAGCAAATCATGGGAGCCTGGTCGACCCTCTTAGTGCAGTCTTTACCGTCGATTAGCGAAAAAGAACACCACCCCCTGCCCGCACGAGCGGGCACTGCGGCCGGACGAGCACACAGGCCGACCACGACGCCCCCCTGTAGCCGGGCAGAGAGCGCCCACGCTGACGCTCCTCTGCAGCGAGGCAGAGAGCGCCCACGACTGCTAGACTGGGCAACAAGGCCCCAAGACGCCAGGACAGACAGACAGACAGACGGACAGACAGACAGACAGACAGACTGACTGACTGACTGACAGACAGACAGACAGACAGACAGACAGACAGACGCACAGAAGGACCGACGACGACAGCAGCAGCAACAGCAGAAGCAGCAGCCGCCGCACAAGCAGCGCATCCACGGCCCCCCCCTGGGAGGCAAACGAGCTATGAATACGCAGGAGGCGAGCTCCGGCCCCTCGTCAATTTTCCCACCCATGAAATTGCACACCACTTAAGGGTTGAGTCAACTAGCGTCTTGGAGTCGGTGAGATAGCGCAGATTCAGCGTCGGCTCGCGTCGATGCAACGTCGATGAGCGTCGAGTTAGCGTCGACGAGCGTCGATTCGCAGGAGTCAACAAGATGGAATGGGAGGCTTCCATGAGTTGCTGCAGGAGGACGAGAACGAGGAGGACGAGGAGGAGGAGGAGGACGAGGACGAGGACGAGGACGAGGACGAGGAGCAGGAGGAGCAGGACGAGCAGGAGGAGGAGCAGGAGGAGGAGGAGGAGGAGGAGGAGCAGGAGGAGCAGGAGGAACAGGAGGAGGAGGAGCAGGAGGAGCAGGAGGAGGAGGAGGAGCAGGAGGAGGAGGAGACAGGCGCTACTACTTCACCGCGGCCGAGTACGAGGGCCGAGGCTGCTCCTGCGCGCGCCTGCCGCGCACGGAGCAGCAGCTGCTCGCGGCGCTCGGGGAGCAGGCCCGTGTCAGCGCGCTCTACGAGGCCCTCTTCCGGCACACCCTCGAGTATTTGGGCGCGCTCGAGGGCGACGGCGGCTCCACGTTCGGCGCCGACGTGGACAGCAGAGGACGAGAAGGGACACGTACCTCTGCCCTTCGCCCGTGTTTCCCCTTGTGGGGCCTCCTGGGAGGCCCTCGTCGCCACTGCCGGATTCGCCTGGAAGTCCTGGTTAGAATATCTTAGAATGCACCCCGGGAGAGGTCCGGGGAGTGTCGATACCTCTTGGTGTCCCCAGGACAGGGACAGTAGCAAGCCCGTCGCGGCTGGGGCTTTTCCAAGGACGGAGGCCAGTCAGGCCGCCTACGACCCGGACGGGTTCTGCCCCCTGAAGTCGCACTCCGAGCGCGTCGCCGCGGCAGAGAAGGTCGGAGGCACCATTTTTAAGGCCGTGCAGCTTTTCAACGAGTTCAACGTCTGGATCTGGTCGGATGGCGAGGATCGCCCCATCAACCCTGCGACCGACGACAACCTCTTCAGGAATGGCCCCCTCTGGCTGCCGTTCACGCCCACTTGGGACGACGTCCGCGCCGCGGGGCTCATGTTCGCGCTCCTCCCGACACTCATCCTCACGGACGGGGGCAACCGCACCACCTGGTTCAACAGCGCGGCGTGGAAGACATGCTGGGAGCCGAGTCCCCTGGCGTCCGGCCCCATGATCTTCAAGTACCCCCAGGTGCAGTCCAGGCTCCACGATCCCGAGCAGAAGCGCGGATACTACACCGCGACGGCGCCCCAGCACCCGGACTTCTTCCACCCCGAGGGCCCCCTCTTCATCGACGGCGAGAGGCACCAGAGTTTCCGCCGCCTCCTCGAGCTCGCAGGCTCTCGAGGGCGGCGGGCCTTCTCCTCCTCGTTCTCCCCCTCCTTCTCCCTCTCCGCCTCCTCCTCCTCCTCCTCCTCCTCCTCCTCCTCCTCCTCCCCTCCTCCTCCTCCCTCCTCCTCCTCCTCCCTCCTCCTCCTCCTCCTCCTCCTCCCTCCTCCTCCTCCTCCTCCTCCTCCTCCTCCTCCTCCTCCTCCTCCTCCTCCTCCTCCTCCTCCTCCTCCTCCTCCTCCTCCTCCGCCTCCCCCTCCTCCCCCTCCTCCTCCTGCAGACTCCGTCAGTTTGGAGAAGTGACAGGGGGGGAGTGGGGGGGGGGCCAGTGGGGACCCAGATGACGGAGAGCGCGCGCCGCGTCGCGATCCGCCAGTCGGGAGAAATCACAGGGGGGAGTGTGAGGGGGTTGGCCTCGGTGGCCCCGGATGACGGAAAGCGCGCGTGGCGTCGGAGAGGAGGAGGAGGAGGAGGAGGAGGAGGAGGAGGAGGAGGAGAAAGGAGAAATGAAATTCGGGGGAGTTCGAGGGGGGCGGCAGGGCGAGCCCCGTCTCTAATGGCCAAAGTCTCCTCCCATGAGGCTCCTCTAGAGGCCTCCAGATAGCCCAAGAGTCTTGGGCCATCTTGGACCGTCTTGGGCCCCTAAGACGGTCCAAGATGGCCTCCAAGACGGTTCCAGAGGGATCAAGAGGCTTCAACTTCGCCCGAGATGTATCCAAGACGGTCCAAGAGGCCTCCAAGACGGTCCAAGAGGCCTCCCAGACGCCTTCATAGGCCTGCAAGAAGCTTTCCAAGAGGGCCCGAAGAGGCAAATGCCATTGATGTTTCGAAGGCGTTGGGAGGTTTTTTAGGGTTAGCGTATTTTCGGCTTCCCGACGCTGCAAGACGCCCCAAGAGGCCCCTAGGACCGCCCCAAGACGGCCCAAGAGGACCCAAGGCGGCCCAAGAGGGCCCGAGACAGCCCCAAGACTGCCCAAGAGGCCTCCAAGACAGGCCCCGAAGAGACCCCCAGCACGGCCCCCAAGAGGCCTCAAAATTCTTTACGCTTCGCGTATCCCCACCAGCCCATCTCAAAACAGCAACTCTTGCGAAGCATGCCGACAGTCGTGTTTTTCAGGCGTGTTTCCGCCTGCCCCCGCATATCTCCCCTGTTCCTCCTTCCTCCCGCCTCCTTGTACATCCTCCTTGTGGTGGGAGCGGGAGAAGGACGAGGCGGAGGAGGAGGGAGAGAAAGCGCTCCTCGTGGTTTGAGTCGTTTGGGGTTTCTCGTCCTGGTGTGAGTCGTTCGGGCCCTTCTTCCTGGTGTGAGTCGTTCGGGCTCTTCGTGGTGTGAGTCGTTCGGGCTCTTCGTCCTGGTGTGAGTCGTTCGGGCTTCTCGTGGTGTGAGTTGTTCGGGCCCCTCGTCCTGGTGTGAGTCGTTCGGGCCCCTCCTCCTGGTGTGACTCGTTCGGGCTCCTCGTGGTGTGAGTCGTTCGGGGCCCTCGTCGTGGTGTGAGTCGTTCGGGCTCCTCGTGGTGTGAGTCGTTCGGGCGCCTCGTCCTGGTGTGAGTCGTCCGGGCCCCTCCTTATGGTGTGAGTCGTTCGGGCTCTTCGTGGTGCGAGTCGTTCGGGCCCCTCCTCCTGGTGTGAGTCGTTCGGGCTCCTCGTGGGGCCTCTTGGGGGCCTCTTGGACGCTCTTGGGGCCTCTTGGGGCCTCTTGGTGGCCTCTTGGGGGCCTCTTGGGGGCCTCTTGGGGCCTCTTGGAGGCCTCTTGGGGGCCTCTTGGGGGCCTCTTGGAGGCCTCTTGGGAGCCTCCTGGGGGCCTCTTGGGGCCAGCTTGGGGGCCTCTTGCGACCTCCTCAGAAGCGCAAATGAGAGCGCTGCCCCCTGAGAAGGACAAAATGAGCCCAAAACCTTCGTAAAATCAATGATTTTGCTATGAAGGAAGAGGAGCGCTGCCCCCGCAGAAGGCCAAAATGGGGCCGAAACCGTAGTAAAATCAATGATTTTGGCTTCCAAGAAGAGCAGAGGGGCCAACGTGCGTCCCCCCGTCGGGGCCAGAATCCTCGTGAGGGTCGTCGTTTTTTGGCCCTCCCAGGAGTCGAAAAAGACCCCCTTGCCACCACTCGGCCCGCCCTCTCCAGGTCCAGGGGAGGGGGTAGGGGGAGGGGTACACCCCTCCCCGAAGGGGAAGAAGGGGGGTTGAGGACAGAGCGGGCTCTCTAAACCACTCACGCCCAAAGGGCTGGTGGGATTTCCTCCCGGAGGCCCCCGAAAGATCCATCATTACATCCCAACGAACATGAACAGGATGAGAAGGAGGAGGAGGAGGAGGAGGAGGAGGCGAAGACGGAGGAGCAAGGAGAAGGAGGAGGAGGAGGAGGGGGAGGGGGACGAGGAGAAGGAGGGGGCGAGGAGGAGAGGAGAAGGGGGCGGGGGTGCTAGCAGGAGGAGCGATGACGATGATGATGATGATGATGATGATGATGATGACGATGATGATGATGATGGTGATGATGATGATGATGATGATGATGATGGTGGTGGTGGTGGTGATGATACTGATAATGATGAGGATGAGGATGATGATGATGATGATGATGGTGATGGTGATGGTGATGGTGATGATGGTGATGGTGGAGATGTTGGTGATGATGATGACGATGCTGCTGATGATGACGCTGCTGCTACTGCTGGTGGTGACGATGATGAGATGATGATGATGATGATGATGATGATGATGATGATGATGATGATGATGATGATGATGATGGTAGTGGTGAAGATGATGGTGATGATGATGACGACGATGATGGTGATGGTGATGGAGATGATGGTGATGATGATGATGAGTATGATGCGGGTGATGCTGGTGATGATGATGACGATGATGATGATGATGATGATGATGATGATGACGGTGGTGGTGGTGATGATGGTGATGATATTGATGACGATGACGGTGACGATGATGATGATTATGTTCATGATGATGTTGGTGATGCTGGTGGTGAAGCTGATGATTGTGATGATGACGATGACGATGATGACGATGATGATGGTGGTGATGGTGATGATGATGAATCTGATTATACCGATGACGATGAGAATGAAGATGATAATGATGATGGGGGTGGTGATGATGAGTGTGGTGGTGGTGATGGTGATGGTGATGGTGATGATGATTCGATGGTGGTGACGGTGATGAGGATGCTGATGACGATGGCGATGACGGATGAGGATGGCGATGGCAATGATGATGATAATGATGATGGTGATGGTGATGATGATGGTGGTGATGGTGATGATGATTGTGATGGTGATGAGGATGCTGATGGTAAGGTTGATGATGCTGAGTATGGTGGTGACGATACGGATGACCATCATGGTGAGCATGATGGTGATGGTGATAGTGGTGGTGATGATGACGATGATGGTGACGGTGATGGTGATGATGATGGTTATGAGGATGATGATGATAACAATGATGGTGATAATGATGGTGATGGTGATGATGATGGTGGTGATGGTCATGGTGATGGTGATGGTGATGGTGATGAGGTTGCTGACGGTGATGCCGATGCTGATGGTAAGGTTGATGATGCTGAGTGTGGTGGTGAAGATGCGGATGATCATCATGGTGGGCATGATGATGGTGATGGTGGTGGTGATGATGACGATGATGAAGACGGTGATGATGATGATGTCTATGGTGATGATGATGGCTATGACGAAGTTGACGATGACGATGATGATTATGATGATGAGTATGACGATGATGAGGATGATGATGACGGTGATGGTGTTGTGATAGTGGTGGTGGTGGCGATCATGATGATGGTGATGGTGAAGACGGTGGTGACGATGATGTTGAAGATGATCATGATGATGGTGATGGTGATGATGATGATGATGGTGGTGATGACGATGATGACGATGACGATGATGACGATGATGATGATAATGATGACGATGACGATGACGATGATGATGCTGATACTGACGCTGCTTATGATGTTGATGGGGTGATGATAATGATGGTGGTGATGGTGATGGTGATGGTGGTGATGAAACGATGAGGATGATGATGATGATGGTGATGATGGTGATGGTGATGGTGATGGTGATGGTGATGAGGGTGATGATAATGTTGATGCTGATGATGGCGCTGATGCTGATGCTGATGATGCTGATTGAGATCGCCCCAAGTCGGCCCAAGGGGCCTCCAACCCAAGAGGGGCCAAGACGGTCCCAAGACGGCCCAAGAAGCCTCCAAGACGGCCCAAGAGGCCCCGAAGATGGCTCGAAGAGACAGACGGGGGGTACCCGAACGGATTCTCCGGGCCCTCCGCCCCAAGAGGCCCTTAGGAGACCTTTAAGAGGCCCCCAAGAGACCCCAAGCGGCCCCCCAAGAGCCCCGAAGAGGTCCCCAAGAGGCCCCAACGCTGCCCCCAAGAGGCCTCAACACTTCTCCCGGAGGCAGCCGAGGGACCTACCATGACATCCCAATGAACATTCAGAGCAGGAGGAGGAGAAGGAGGAGAGGGCCCAGGATGCCTTCAAGACTGCCAAAGAGGCCCTCAAGACGCTCCACGAGGCCTCCAAAAGGACGCCCCAGAAACAAAAGTCGTCCATTCTTTGGGGGAAGCGTACATTTTAGCAGATTTGATCTTTTGGTCTTCACCCAAGAGAGCCCACGACGGCCCAAAGAAGCCCCACAAGGACACCCAAAAAGTCCCAGAAAGGCCACACTCATGGAAGTTCGCAAGGTTGGTTGTTAGCCGTTTGTATGACGTACCAAAGTCTTTGACAACAAGAGGGCTCCACGACACTGAGCAAGCGATCTCGAGCGCTTTCTGTCCCCGTGTCATGCAGGTGTATAGGGCTACAGGGCTGCGGATCAGCCCACCCCACGACCGTGCCTGGATTGTGGGTCGTAGGCCTCGAGGATATTCTTTGGGATGGCGCAGGATGCCTCTCCCCCTCTTGGGCCCTTCTCGGGGCTGTCTTTGGGCCCTCTTGGGCCGTCTGAGGCGCCTGTTGAGCCGTCTTGGGGCCCTCTTGGGCCCGTCTGAGGCGCCTGTTGAGCCGTCTTGGGGCCCTCTTGGGCCGTCTTGGGCTCATCTTGGGGACCTTTTGTGCCGTCTTGGGGCGACCTTGGAAGCCTTTTGGGCCATCTTGGAGCGTCAGGAAAACGGAAAAGCGACAACGCTAAGATCATAGAAAAACCGGAGAGAAACCTAGGAGTTGGCCTTCTTGTGGCCCTCTTGGGAAGGCTCTTGGGGCTCTCTTGGGGCGTCTCGAGAGCTTCTTGGGCCATCTTGGGGCCAACTTGGGCGTCTTGGACCGATCGTGCGGCGATTCGAGGCCCTCTTGGACCTTCTTCTTGGGGGGCCTCTTGGGACCCTTGTGGCCCGTTTTGGGGCCCCCTTGGGCCCGAAAAGCTCACGCGGGAACGCGCCGGGAGCCCCGGGACCCACGCTGGACGCCCCAAGAGAGATGTGAGAGTGTGGAGTCTGGGCCCCGTGCAAGAAGCCTCTGGATGGAAGACTGAGGCCCGGGGGTCGAGCAAGGGGCCGGGTTGAGAGCCAGGGACCTCCGCGCCACAGGGGCACGGTGGCGCGCACGGCGACATGGGGATGGAGGGGTGTCGCCGCGCTGTGGGTTCCGACGCGCGGCCATACGCCTGGGGGAGGGCGCCTCGGGCCCGGACAGACGCCGCCTCGGACGCCGCCTCCTGCCGCGGCGCCGGCGTCGTCTACTCGGGGCGCGGGGCGCAGGGCTGGCCGTGGGCGTGCCGTGGTGCTGGTGTCGCCCACTCGGGCGCGTCGAGAGCTAACGGCGCGGCGACATAGGGGCAAAAGGATATGGGAATGTACAGAGACATGGGGATATAGGAATATGGGGATACGGGGATATAGGGATATGGGAATGTCGGGACGGGGATAGGGATACGGACACGGATAGGGGTAGGCAGTGGAAGACAGTGGGAGACACTGGATTACAACGAGACAGGGACAGGGATAGGGATGGAGATAGAGAGAGAGGGATACGGATAGGGATAAGGATAGACAATGGGAGACCATGGGAGATGGTGAAAGACAGCGGGGGACAACGGGAGACAATGGGAGAGACGGCGTCGCCTGGCCGATTCCAGATTCGGCGGCCCACCTGCTCGTTACTGAGAAATCAGATGAACATGTGACGGACAATCTGTTTAGAGAAACATTGTGAAAAACTACGACTGGAGCCCTAGACCCACTGTTCTGGGGCATTCTCGAGCCGGATCGACCCATGAGGGCCCCGGGGCCCGGGCTTGGGCGCAAACGCACAGTGCAAAAAGTGCTTCAGGGGAGAACCCGGCCGTATGCAGTTGTGAGTAGCGCGGTTACGTGTGAGGGGTGTGCCGAGACGGGTGCGGCTGCGCCATGCGAACGCAGCCAATGGGGCCGTCGGTGGAGCTCCCCATGCGGCCACGACGCGTGTGAGGGGTGTGCCGAAACTCGTGAGAGGTGTGCCGAAGGGGGCGCGGCGGTGCCGTGGGAACGCAGCCACCACCGAAGCTCCCTATGCGGCCACGACGCGTGTAAGGGGTGTGCCTAAATGAGCGCGGCGGTGCCATGCGAACGCAGCCACCAGGGCCTTCGGTGAAGCTCCCGCGGGGTCACGAAACGTGAGCGGTTTGCAAACACGGGCGCGGCCGTGCCATGCGAACGCAACCACAGGAGCCTTCGGTGGAGCTCCCTATGGAGCCACCAAACGTGTCAGGAGTGTGCCGAAACGCGCGAGGCGGTGCCATGCAAGCGCAGCCACTGGGGCCTTTAGTAAAGCTCCCTATGGTGCCACGCACGTGTGAAGGGTGTGCCGAAATGGGCGCGGCGGTGCCATGCGAACTCAGTCATTGGGGCCTTCCGTGGAGCTCCTATGGTGCCACGAAACGTGTGAGCGGTGTACCGACATGGGTGCGGCGGTGCCATGCGACCGCAGCCACTGGGGCCTTCGGTGGAGCTCCCTATGAGGCCACGACGCGTGTGACGGGTGTGCCGAAACTCGTGCGGCGGCGCAACGCGAACGCAGTCATTGGGGCTTTTGGTGGAGCTCACTTTAGGGCCACGAAACGCGTGAGGGGCGTGCCGAAACAGAGATACGCGGAGGGCAAAGGCAGGGATGGGAAGATGATGATGATGATGATGATGATGATGATGATGATGATGATGATGATGACGATGATGATGATGATGATGATGATGATGATGATGATGATGATGATGATGATGATGATGATGATGATGATGATGATGATGATGATGATGATGATGATGATGATGATGATGATGATGATGATGATGATGATGATGATGACGACGACGATGATGATGATGATGATGATGATGATGATGATGATGATGATGATGATGATGATGATGATGATGATGATGAGGAGGAGGAGGAGGAGGAGGAGGAGGAGGAGGAGGAGGAAGAGGACGAAGGAGGAAGGAGGAGGACGCGGGGCGCAGTCTCGTCAAAATGAGGATCCAACACCTCAGGCTGGATGGGATACATGTGACGCCAGAATCTGAGGGTCCCCCCCCTCTCCCTAGCCCCCCTTTTCCACCGTCGCAGTTTTTGCTGCTGACACGGGCCCCCGAGGATCTCGACCACTTCCCCGGGGCCGGCGTTTCGGCCCGAGCCGTTCGTTGACGACCGCCAGAAGCCAAAGAAGAGCCTAAATTGGCCGTCGCGATTTTGCCTGCGTTGCTTGGATCGGAGGGTCCTTGGGCCTCTCCTGGGATGCGTTCTGACCAGAATTTCGAGGCGACTCCAGCGGTGGCGACGAGGACCTCCCAGGAGGCCCAAACAGGCGAAAACGAGGGAAGTGCAGCGGTATGGATACCTTGGGTACCCATTCTTCCTCTGACGTATGGCCCGCCTGGATCCGCCCCCACGGGCTTCGACCCATTCCCCGGGACCGGCTTTTCATCCCGAGTCGTTTTGTTGACTGTCCCGAGGCCCGGTGAGGGCCCTCGGTGGCCGAAAACAGCGAATAGGTTGCCGTCGTGATTTCTCCATGGCTCGAGGGGGTCTGGGCACAGCGCGCCTCGATCCGCCCCTCCGTCTCCCGTAGGACAGGCTCCTCGGACCCCCCTCCCGGCGCACCCGAGGCTTCGCTGAAGTAAGGCGTGTCCCTCTACAGGGGGGATCCTCAAAAATAGCCAAAAAATATGTCGGGGGACGATTTTTTCATTGTTTTAAGCTATGTGGGGGCATGTGGGGGGTATTTTTTCATTTTTCGCCCAAAATCCGCCTGGCAGGGGGACGTGCCCGACCTGAGGCTTCGCGCGGCGCTACCCCGTCGACGCCAGCCTCGTGCGCGCGATCCCGGGCCTCGGGGGGCAGGCGCCGAGCGAGGCCGACGTGGCCGCGGCCGTGGGCCCGCTGGTCATGCAGGGCATCTGGGGCAGCCGCCCGACGCCGGAGGCCGAGGATCGGGAGCGCGGTGGGTCCCCGCTTCTCCTCCTCCTCCTCCTCCTCCTCCTCCTCCTCCTCCTCCTCCTCCTCCTCTCTCCTCCTCCTCCTCCCCCTCCTCCTCCTCCTCATCCTCCTGCTCCTCCTCCTCCTCTCCTCCTCCTCCTCCGCCTCCTCCTCCTCCTCCTCCTCCTCCTCCTCCTCCTCCTCCTCCTCCTCCTCCTCCTCCTCTCCCCGGAGCCTCCTCTCCTTCCCTCCTCCCCTCAAGGAAATCACGACGGAGGGTGTTTCGCTCCTCCCCTCCCTCCTCCTCCTCCTCCTGCCCTCCCTCCTCCTCCTCCTCCTCCTCCTCCTCCCCCTCCTCCTCCCTCCTCCTCCTCTCCTCCTCCTCCTCCTCCTCCTCCTCCTCCTCCTCCTCCTCTCCTCTCCTCGGAGCCTTCTCTCCTTCCCTCCTCCCCTCCAGGAAAGTCACGACGGAGGGTGTTTCGCTACGTTCGGCCTCTGGAGGCCTTTCCCGGGCCTGAAGAATTAAGTCGGGCGTGTCCCTCTACAGGAGGAATATTCAAAATGTCAAAAAAAAATAGTTTGGGGACAATGTGTTTACTATTTTTGCATAAGGTTGTTGCATATTGTTTGACTGTTGCTTCGTCAAAAAATCCCCCTGTAGGAGGTCATGCCCGGCTGCCCGACCGAACCCCAGACCCATGTAAAAGTCACGACGGAGGGTTTGTCGCTATGTTCGGCCTCTGGGGGTTCTTCCCAGGCCTCAAGAAACGACTCGGGATGAGTCGCAGCCTCTGGGGGATGACTCTAGGCCTCCTAGATGGGGTCCAAGCAGCTGGGGTCGGAGGATCGCGCCGCATCGCCGATGCATCGACGATGCGGCTCGATGCGTAGCCCGATTTTCCTCACGCCGACGTCGTCGATACACCGCCGACGTCGACGCCTCATCGCCATTCCATCGCCGATGCATCGCCGATGTATCGGCGATGCGGCGCGGTCCTCCGACCCCATCTACTCCGACCCCATCTAGGAGGCCTCTAGTGACGTCATGAAAGAATCATGGCGTCGGAGGCGAGGTGGGTCGGGAGCGAAAGTCGGCTACGCGTGAGAGTGGCCTTTCGCCGGAGTGACCTCGGGTGCGGGCCCGGCTGGGGCCCCCGATCGCCGAGCGCGATGCGAGAGCAGCGGCCTGCGCGCCTGTGCCGGGTCGCCCCGCGGCCCCCCCCAAAAAGGCCGCGCGCCAGAGGGCACTCGTGCCCGGAGTCGCTCTTGCGTGCAGGTCGAGTCAGGAGCGAAAGGGAGGACGTGCCCTGGCATCGCTCGGACGTGTGCGTTTTTCCTTCGGCGAGGACCATCGAGGAGCATCCTTGATCATTTGGCGAAAAAACCACGCACGAAACTGAAAAGTGCACAGGGAATGGACGTCCGAGCGATGGCCAGGTACACGCACACGAGTCCACGTTGGTTTCGAGAGTAACTACGCATTGCGCGAACGTTGGCAGCACGCGGCCGGTCTCGTGGACTGCTGGGCCGTGTTCGTGTGCAGTCGACCCGCATGGTAAGGATGGGCAGCCTTCCCAAGGGTACCCTTGCATCCTTGTCCTTTCGGCCCATCCTTAGCTACTTTTGCTGGCCAACCTCGTTCGAATAACGTTACCATGGCCCTTCAAGGTCCTTGCATCCTTACCGCGCATCCTGTTGATACGGGTTGACTGTACGTGGTTGGGCGCGTGCGTCCTTTGCGGGCTCCCCAGTGGGCACGGAAATGGTGGGCACGAGGGCCAGCAGCAGTTCTCTGGGCCTCCTACGGATTCAGAGGAGGAAAAGTTGCCCATACCCATGCGCCGCTGCCCTTCCCTCGTTCTCGCCTGGCTGGGCTTCCTGGGAGGCCGTCGTCGCCACCGCTGGAGTCGCCTCGAGATTCCGGTCAGAGCGCACCCCGCGGGCGAGGTGGGAGGAGCAGCAGCATCGGGAACTTGTGGTTCTCCCCCGAACTGGGGTCCGAGCAGATGGGGTCGGAGGACCGCGCCGCATCGCCGATGCATCGGCGATGCGGCTTGACGTGGGGTCCGATTCCCTGGGGCCGGCTTCTAAGCCCGAGTAGTTCTTTGACGGTCCTGGGGGAAGGCAGACGGCCTCTAGAGGCCGAATGCAACGAACAGCTGGCCGTCACGACTCTGCTGCGTCGCCCACATATGAAGAGAGCCTGTCCGAAGTACCGGCGGCGAGCGAGGGGGGAAGCGAGAAAGGGCGGGCTTGTTCCGAAGGCTCGGAAGTCCCCCAGCCTTCTGAAAAAAAGGTTTTCTTTGCCTTCCTTGAAGACGCAGACAACTTCTCACAAGCCCAGAGTGCTTCTGAGAAGCCCTGCTGCCTTCTGAGAAGGCCTCCCCCTTCTCACTCCCCCCACTCGTCGCCGAATTTAGAAGACTCCTGACTGTGGTCGGAGAAGATGGGGTCAGAGGATCACGCCGCATCGCCGATGCATCGCCGATGGTCGGCGATGCACCGGCGACGTCGGCGATGCATCAGCGCAGTCGGCGTGGAGAGAACCGTGAAAAAATTAGTCGGGCTGAAAAGCCGGCCCCGGGGAACGGGTCGAGATCCCCCGGGGCCATCGCCGTGGGGAAAATTGGTCTTGGGGGAAACGGGCCCTGATGTTGTTCGCCGTTTTCGGGCTCCTGGGGTCCTCCACGGGCCCCGGGAGTGTCAGAAATGGGGGAAGGCCCTGGGGTCCAGGACCCGTTTCCCTCAGGACCTGGTTCCCCCATGGAGGCCAACGTCACGATCAGAGTGCGACGTCGGAGAAAAAAAATCGTGGTTGGCTTCGCCTCGGGCGTGGCCCATTTGAGACGGAGGTCACCTGCCCGACCGCGGCCGCTGCCACTTGGGGGCGACGTGTGCCGTTGGGCATCGCAACGGAATTGCTTCCGAACCTCAGTCGGTCAGGAGAGCAAGGCGGACGTACACGTATATGAATCCACGTTGGTTTCGAGAGTACGCATTGCACGAATGTTCGTATCACGCGGCCGGTCTCGCGGATCGAGGGGCCGGCCGTGTTCATGTGCGTGGTTGGGCGCGTACGTCTTTCGTGGGTTCCCTTTTCGGGCGTACCATAAGGAGGCCATGGCAATTTACGCGAGATTCGGTAAGTACGCCATCTTCGGCAAGGAGATCGCCGGGAGGCAGGCGGGCCCTGAGGGAAACGGGTCCGCAGGTCTTGACAGACTCCTGGCTTTCGGTTGGGCATGTCCTTCTACAGGCGGATGTTGGAAGAGACATGAAACATAGTCCGAGTGAAATATTCCTGAGTAGTCAAGAAACCGTCGACAAGTCGTCCCCAGACTGTTTTCCAATCTTCTTGGATATTCCTCCTGCAGGGGGGACATGCCCGACCGAACCCTGGCCCCCGCGGCCCTCCCCAGGCCCACGGAGGCCGCCCGGACGCGGCCCGCGAGATGGAGAAGCGGTCCCGGAGGCAAGGCCTGGGGCCCGGGCCAAGTTTCCCTCGGGGCCGGCTGCTTTCATGCGGAGGAGATCCACCGCTTCGCTCTGGGGCCCACCGGGATTGCGAGCTCGGTGATTGGGCGCTGCGTAATGGGGGGTCATAAATGGGGGGGTGGCGAGCGTGGTCCGAAAAGGTACCCAAACGGTACCTAAACGAGCCCCCTGGGGCTCTGGAGGGGCCCGAAAGGGGCACGAAAGGGGACCTTTTCTGACCCCCCCATTTGTGACCCCCCCATTAAGCCACGCCCAAGGTGAGGGAAGCGAGCGCCAGCGTGGCGGCCTGGGCGAAGACGACGCCGTTCCGCGACCTCCTGCGGAAGGCCGCGGAGGCGCACGGGCCCGCCAGCCCGTTCTTCCTCGACGAGGACCGGCTGCTAGACGACCTCATTCTTGCGACGCTCTTTGCGGGCCTCGTCGGCACCACGGACATGGTCACGAAGTGCGTCGTGTACCAGCAGCGGGATGCAGCACACGTGGGCCTGTTCATGGAGGACCCAGAGAAATACCTCATCGAGCTGATGCGGTATGACTCAGCCGTGACGTCCGTGACGGAGTTGCTCCGCGAGGACGACGCCATGAACCTGGAGGGCCGCAACATCACGCTGAAGCAGGGCACACCCGCCCAGCTCGTCCTCGCCAGCGCCAACCGGGACCCGACCCACTGGATGCGCGCGGACGACTTCGACCCCGCGCGGCCCGACCTCAAGGACACGCTCTCGTGGAACGGGCGCGTCGAAGACGTGGAGGCGCGTTCCTTGGAGCGCGCCCCGCGCCACTGCCCGGGATTCTGCCTCTCCCTGAAAGTGGGCGCAGCCGTGTGCGCAAAGATGATGGGTTCGTTCGACGAGCTCGAGAGGGAGGGCAAAGTGTTGCACCACGGCAGCGGAGCAGTGAAGTGCAACAACTTCAACGAGGCGGAAATAAGAAGGAGGAGGAGGGGGATGAGCGGCCCGAGTCTGGGGCTCTTGCAGATGTTAGCCTCCATCGCTGCAATGCTTTTCGTCGCACTGCCATTCCCCGCAGCTTGTTTCTCCTCCCAAGATTGCGCTGGTGTTCCAAACCATCCTGCGATATTGGGCCCTCGTCTTGAAGAACAGCGCCCCGCGTCTCACTCACACTCCCCGCTGCCTCATCCCGTGCTCCTATCCATGCCTCTGCTCTCCGCGTGTCCCTGTTCCGGCGCACACCTCACACGTTGCGTGGCCCCATAGCGAGCTCCACCGAAGGCCCCAGTGGGAGGTTCCACATGCGACTGCCCGCCCATTTCGGCACAACCCCTCACACGCTTCGTGGCCCCATTGGGAGCTCCACCGAAGGCTCCAGTGGGAGAGTTTACATGCGGCTCCCCGCCCATTTCGGCACACCACTCACACGCTCTGTGGGGAGCTCCACCGAAGGCCCCAGAAGGAGGGCTCACATGCGACTCCCTGCCCATTTCGGCATGCGCCTCAAACGTTTCGCGACCCCGTAGGGAGGGCCACCGAATGTCCTAGCGGTTGGGTCCACATGCGGTTCCCCGCAAACTTCGACACATCGCTGCTCTTAGGCAGCTCCACCGAAGGCCCCAGTGGGAGAGTGCACATGCGGCTTCCCGCCCGTTTCAGTAAACCCTTCACACGTTTCGCGGCCCCACTGGGACCCCCACCGAAGGCCATAGGAAGGCCATAGAGGGTCCGCATGCGGCTCCCCACCCATTTCGGCACATCGCTCACACGTTTCGCGTCTTAGGCAGCTCCACCGAAGGCCCCAGTCGAGAGTTCACATGCAGCTTCCCACCAATTTCGGCTCACCCCTCAGACGCTTCGTAGCCCCGTAGGGAGCTCCACCGAAGGCCCCAGTGGGAGGGTCCACATGCAGCTCCCTCCCCATTTCAGCACACCCCTCACGGTTTGCGTGGCCACATACGGAACGCCGTCGAAGCTCCCAGTGCGTCCACATGCGGTTCCCCGCCCATTTCGGCACAACCCCTCACGCGTTTCGCGGCCCCTTAGGGAGCTCCACTGAAGGCCCCAGGGGGAGGGTCCACATGCGGCTCCCTCGCCATTTCGGCACACCACTCACACGCTTTGTGGCCCCACAGGGAGCTCCACCGAAGGCTTTAGCGGGAGAGTCCACATGCGGCTCCCTCGCCATTTCGGCACACCACTCACACGCTTTGTGGCCACACAGGGACTCCACCGAAGGCTTTAGCGGGAGAGTCCACATGCGGTTCCCCGCACATTTCGGCACACCCCTCAAGCGCCTCGTTGCCCAATAGGGACTTCTACCGAAGACGATTCTCACATCTGCGTGACACACAACTGCATATGGTTGGGTCGTTTGCCGGGGAAGTGTTTGAAGTTGTTCTTCAACTTGATATGTATGTATTTCCATGTATGTATGTATGTATGTATATATAGATCGATGTGAATATAGATATATACATATAGATATACACATCTATACACATCTATGTATTGCAAATGATTTGAGCAAACAGAGGCGGACGAGCCCCCGCTCTGGAACCCACCTGCTGACCTGAAGTTGCCACCACTCTACGAGCCGGACCTCTCCGAGGGCGAGGTCCTCGTCAGGGAGGACGTGGAGTGCGAGAGCCCAGATCTCTACATCGGCTCCTTCGAGACAGTCCACGAGTGCGCCCGGGCCGTGAAGGCGGCCGGCGGAAAATATTTCATCTACGGCAAGGGCATCGTCAAAGGAGGCTGGTGCTATATGGAGTATACGTCGTCTCCAGACTGCGGCCAGGGCTTCCAGGACGATTGGTACGACTTTTTCGACGTTCCAGAGGTGCCCCTGGAGCGGTCGTTGCAGTGCCACGCCGATCTCGTGCAGTGGTCGCTCAGAGAGAGTGGCCTGATGGCAGAAAGCCCCGCCATTGGCACGCTCGACAGGACTCAGTTCCAGAGTCAGGCGATGGTGATAGCGAAGCAGGTCACCACAGAAGGTCAGAGGAGGAAAAGGTACCGATACGGCTACCATTCCCTAGTTTTCGCTGTTCTTGGCCTCCTGGAAGGCCCTGGTCGCCACTGCTAGATTCGCTCGCCTCGAAATTCTGATCAGAACGCGCCCCGGGAGAGGTCCGAGGAGTAGCAGTATCGGTAATTGCCGGTTTCTCCAGGAGGTTCCAATTGGCCCTTCTCCTCGGAGAAGTCTTGCACCTACGAGCACCGGCTCGCTGCCTACGGAGGCCAGGCACAGGTGGATACATACAGGGGCTGTTGCAAACCGTCGAAGGCAGGCGGCTGCACCCCAGCAGAGCTTTCCAAGCACGACACCAGGAAGCTCGTAAAGGGCAGCTCCACCTGGAGCGCCTGCAGCAGGCCAGAAGACACCCTGTTCGAGGCCGCGAGTTTCTCTGGAGCCACCCCCACTGGCAAGTCTTGCTTCGAGGTCGAGGTGGTTTCAAATGTCGTGTCGTTGCGGCAGAAACTCAACTCGTGCCCAGATTGGATCAAGATGGCTATTACAGCTTTCGTCGAGTTGAGCAAGGCTTCTTACGCGTTCCATTATAGCCTTATTCCAGAACAGGAGCACAATCATTTCATCGCTAGTATCCTCGGCAAGGAGCCAGACTCTAGTGGCCTGGACCCAGTTACCTTCGACACCTACACCACGGGCATGGTGGTAGTCATCGTGCATCTCACACAGCGATCCTTCAGTGGTGCCAAACATCCGCCCAGCGAGCGCATTGCTCTGCCAAGGTCGCAGGAATACCTTGACAGGCACGTCGTCTACAGCTTCATTGGGCTGCCAACGGAAGACATCGACACCAACATCGCCAGCCTCGAAGGCGGGCAAACGTGCGGCCTCGATGCGTTTCGCCAGCTAGATTTGGTGGATGACATAGGGACTGGGAGGAACACGTGGGACCGTGTCATGGGTACATTGCCAGGGTATTCATCGCATTGCCCCTTCAAGGAGAGCAAGGCGACCTGCACGAAAAAGGAGTTTGTACGGGGGTTGTTTTCCAATTACACCACGCAGGATGGTGACCCTGCGTACCCAGCAGAGATGATCGATTTTGCAGGGCTGTGGCACATGGCTGATGGCAAGTGGTCTGACAAGGCGGAAAGCTTCCTCGCGTGGCAGCACTACGGCTCGCATCGCATCGAGGCCGTCTTGGCTGGGTCACCCGAGGCGACAGGTGGCGCGGCCTTCAAATTGGTCACCTCCGATCTTAGCGTCCTGGACGTCCGCCCGGGCTTCTCGCGCGTCGGGGCCGACATGTTCTTCAATGAGGCGGGGGAGCCGTTGATGATCCGCACACCAGACGGCCAGGAAGTTTGGAGGGCGAGGGCGGAATCAGCGACGTGGCAGTACTGGAAGTTCGCCTTCCGCTCTTCGCTTTTCCTCAAGGTCACGCTTGTGGATCACCTCTGGGCCACGCACTTCACGGCGGGCAACTCTCTGGCTGCGGCCTCACGGGAGTCTCTGGCCCCAACCCATCCAATGAGGCGATTGTTGACCATGTTCACTTTTAACACGATCAAGGTGAACACCAATGCGTTCCACCAGCTGTTGGGTCCAGACGCCCTGCTCCAGCGAAGCACACCGTTCCACGATTTCCGCAAGGTCTCGTTACGTGCAGAGGTCGCGATCCGGCCGCTGACACAGTCATTCGGGCTCTTCCTGAACGAGACGGTCAGGAGCGCCCTACCCGTACGAGTGCAGGAGACGCCATACGTGCAGGACGGGCAGCTCATCTTCGACGCGCTCCGAGATTTCGTGGCCAGCTGGTTTGCGCTCTATGATGGCCAGTGGTGCGCGGGCGCTGCTGTCGCGGACCCGGCGTTGATGCTGTTCTTTGAGCGCGTGCAAGCGTGGTCGATGTACCAGCAGCACATGGACACGGACGCGTCGTTCCTGGGTCTGCACGGCGGAGACGGGAACCTCCAGTGCGCCGGTTTCCAGAAGTGGCTCACCATGCTCTTCTTCCAGGTCACTGCCTATCCAGCGGCCTGCGGCCTTTCTCCCCGCCGTGCCTGAGCCTGCTGGACTGGCGCTGGACTCCTCAGAGAGGGCCTCCCAGGAGACATTTTGGGCGTCCCTTGAGGCTCTCTTGGGCGCCTCTGGCAGGGCTCTTGGCGTCCTGGGCGGGGGAGGCACTGGGCACCAGGCACCAGGCCTGACACACCCTCTGAGGCTGAAACTGCCTAAGAACAAGTGCCGTCCAGTTTGGTACCCAGGAGGCTCACCCAGCACATCCCAGGGCGCCCAACATCGAAGAACAAAAGCAGCATAAGCATCAATCTTCGACGCTCCGCGCGGATTTGTCTGGGCACTGGTGGCGGCACCTCTGGCGCCACACCCCTGGCGCGCTTCGCGCGCCAGAGAGACCGGGGGCCTGGCGCCGAGCGAAGAAATCCGCACGGAGATCCGAAAGATTGTGTAATTTTGCCACTGATAAATATATATATATATATATATACACACATATATATATATACATATATAGTATACATACCTATACGATCACCCTTCGGGTGATAAAGAGATTCGGTGGGGGGAGGAACCAACGTCTCACTCGATCGGTCTCACTGTCGATCTCACTATCGATCTCACTATCGGTCTCGCTCGATCGATCCCACTCGATCGATCTCACAATCGATCTCACTCGATCTATTTCATTCGATCGATCTCACAATCGATCTGACTATCGATCTTACATTCGATCTCACTATCGATCTCACTATCGATCTCACATTCGGTCCCACGATCGATCTCACTATCGATCTCACAATCAACGTCGTCATCATCATCATCAACATCATCGTCATCAACGTCGTCATCATCATCATCATCATCATCATCATCATCATCATCATCGGGGCACCATCATCATCATCATCATCATCATCATCATCATCATCATCACATCATCATCACCATCATCATCGGGACACCATCATCGGGACACCATCATCACCAACAACATCATCATCATCGGGACACCATCATCATCAGCATCGGAACACCACCATCATCACCTCAGAAAGAGCGTGTTCTACCGCTGCTGGCGGAAAACCGGGGGGGGTCACTACCGGTTCGAACCCCTCCCCCCCCCCCCCCCTCCGGAAAACGGGGGGGTCACTACCGGTTCGAACCCCTCCCCCCCCCCCCCCTGCTCATCATGAAAAGGGAGGGGGGGGGCACTACCGGTTCGAACCCCTCCCCCCCCCCCCCCCCCCCCCTCCGGATCCGGAAAACCGGGGGGGGTCACTACCGGTTCGAACCCCCCCCCCTTCCTCGAAAACCAAGTGGGGGTGCGGACAGTGGTGGGGACGGTGTTGGTGGGACAGTGGTGAGGGGATAGCGGGACAGTGGTGGGGACAGTGGGACAGTGGGACAGTGGTGGGGACGGTAGTGGTGGGGACAGTGGTGGGGACAATGGTGGGAACAGGGGGGGGGACAGTGGACAGTGGTGGTGACGGTGGTGGTGGGGACAGTGGTGTGGGGACAATGGGAATGAGGTGGAAACAGTGGGACAGTGGAGGGTACAATGGTGGTGGGGACAGTGGTGAAGGCGGTGGCGAGGACGGCGGTGGGACAATGGGACAGAGGTACAGTGGGGACAGTGGTGGGGACAGTGGGGACAGTGGTGGGAACAGTGGGACAGCTCAGTGGGACAGCGGAGGAGTCAGTGGGACAGTGGGGATAGTCGGGCAGTGGTTGGGGCCGTGGAGACAGTGGGGAGAGTGGAACCGTGGTGGGAACAGTTCTGGGGACAGCGGGGACAGTGCGACAGTGGTGGGGCCACTGGTGGGGACAGTAGGGGCGGTGGTGGAACCAGTGGGGACAGCGGTGGTGAGGACAGTGGTGCTGGGAACACCAGTGGGGGATGTGATGCGGACGGTGGTGGGGACCGGGAGTCGTTTGCTGGCGGTGAGTAGGGGGGAGGGGGGGGGGGGGTTCGAACCGGTAGTGACCCCCCCCGGTTTTCCGGATCCGGAGGGGGGGGGGGGGAGGGGTTCGAACCGGTAGTGACCCCCCCCGGTTTTCGAGCGGGAGGGGGGGGGGGGGGGAGGGGGAGGGGTCTATAGGGGAGGGGGGGGTTTTTGCGGGGGAGGGGGGGGGGGGGGAGGGGTTCCAGCAGGGGGGGGGGGATTTTCGGAGGGGGGGGGGGTTCCGGAGGAAAAGGTTGGCAATTTGCCACAGTAAAGCGGCGGTGGATCACGCTCTCTCTCTCACCTCAGCATGATCTCATCATCAACATCATGAACAACAGCAGCAACATCATCATCACCATCGGGACACCATCATCATCATCATCAGCAACAACATCATCTTCAACATCATCATCACTGGGACACCATCATCATCGTCACCATCATCATCATCACCATCCTCATCATCATCATCATCGTCATCGGGACACCGTTATCATCATCAACATCAGCATCACCATCATCATCATCGGGCCACCATCATACAAATCATCATCATCACCTCATCCTGATCATCATCATCATCGGGGCACCATCATCGCCGTCATCATCAACATCACCATCATCGGGACACCATCATCATCACCATCATCATCAACAGCATCATCATCAACCTCAGCATCACCATTATCATCGGGACACCATCATCATCAGCTTCATCATCATCATCATCAGCATCATCATCTCATCATCCCATCACCATCAACATCATCAGGATCATCAACATCGTCATCACCATCGGAATGCCATCACCATCATTAGCAACATCAGCATCATCAACATCATCATCATCATCGGGACACCATCATCATCACCTCCATGGCCATCATCATCACCGTCATCATCATCATCATCATCAACATCGTCAACATCATCATCATCATCACCCTCGGGACACCATCATCATGACCACCATCACCATCATCATCATCAGCATCATCATCAACATCATCGACATCATCATCATCATTATCATCATCATCGTCATCATCAGCATCATCATCATCACCATCATCATCGGGACACCGACGGGACACCGGCAGGACACCGCGCGCCACCGGACGCCGGAAGGGAGACATTTGGTCTGGCCGCGCCTCAGCCACAGCGGGACACCGGCGGGACACCGCGCGCCACTGGACGCTGGAAGGGAGACATTTGGTCCGGCCGCGCCTCAGCCACAGGAGACTTTCCTCTCGCCCGCCCACGCAGCTTCGCCTTGCCCGCACGCACGGCACGCACGAAACCGAAACCGATTTCCCGGTAGGGGGGCTCTCCGTTCCACTTCGATCTCACCCCCTCACCTCCGACATACATACATACATGCATGCATGCATGCATGCATGCATGCATACATACATACATACATACATACATACATACATACATATATATATATATACACACACTCAATTCCTTCCTCCCCTGACCCCATGCGAGCCCAACGAGCGCCCACGAATTCCGTGAGATCGGTGGCATCAAGACCCCAACGACCCTTTTGGCAGAAACGAGGCTCGTCAAACAGAAGGAGCCAGCCTGCCAGCAGGTGACCCGCGGCCACCTCTCGGCCCCCAGTGGCCTCGGGGTCCCGCGGGAGGAGGTCGCAAGATCAGCGGCACACGTGCCCCCAGTTATGCACCGCTTTTGCAGCAAGAGGTCTCATCGTTCAGGAGGGAGAAAGCACACAGACACAGTGAATCGTCGACTCCCAGGAAGATAATTATGCGAAAGTATGGGAAGTGTGGGGGGAGCCAGGAATCCAAAAAATATAGGAAAATATGGTGCGTCCTGTTATGTGTGTGTACTTATGTGTGTGTCCCAGGGCCCCTTCGGTCGTGTGCGCCCGCCTCACCACTGACAGTTGCATGAGCTTTGGGGCACCCTTGGCGTCACTCCAACACGTCTATACCACGTGTGCGTCGCCCCCCCCAGGGGCGACGCGCGCACCGAGAAATCTTGTGGTCCATGTGTCGTCGTGGGCGCTGTTTGGCCCCACCGCTCAGGAAACGAGCTGCTACAGGATGGGTATGCCATATGCTTGGGCCGGACGCGCGCCTCCAAGGCGGACATGTGGTGTTAGTACAGTGCCGTTTTTAATACATGCTCCGCGTGCGGATCATCTATCAAAAATGCAGGGTTCAACGTTCAAAACAACGACGAGTTCATGCATAAATTAATTCCTAAATTAACGATGCATTGAAATCCTATATTTCTAAAAATCCCATGTGTTAAAAGCTGCCCTGTAGGGTGTCTCTGTGCGCCCCACGCCCCAGCTGCGTGCCGAGGGCACGGAGGGCGGACCACCGGCACGTGGGGTCCGTGGCCGACACCGCCGCGGACCCGGACTTTGCAGGCTTCTCCTGGGCGCCGGGCGAGGCGCACGCGAGGCCGCCCCGGGCAGCGGCCGAGGGCCACCAATAGGGGCCACCAATAGGGGAACAAAAAGTGGCACAAACATACAAACTCGGAGGTCCGCGCGGATTTCTCGGATCGGCGCTGGGGACCCCCGGCGGCGCGTCCGGCGCCGCCCCTGGCGCGCTCCGCGCGCCAGGGAGGGGGGCCCAGCGCCGATCCGAGAAATCCGCGCGGACCTCCGAGTTTGCATGTTTTTGTCATTTTTTGCTCGAAGGATTGCAACAAAAAAAAATAATCAAAAATCAAAAAAAAAAAAACAGGATTGCAAAACAAAAAAACAGGATTGCAAAAAAAACAGGATTGCAATCCTAGGTTTTTTTGCAATCCTAACCAATTCCAGGGGGGGGGCACCGCCAGAGCTCCCCCCGAAAAGCGAGGCTCGAGGACCGGAGGCGCGGGGAGAGGTGCTGTGGGGCGCTCGGGGGTCGTGTCTCGGGGGGCGCTGGCTCATGTCTCGACGGAGATTGAGCGCCACGAACCTGAAGTGTTGGCTCTCCGCGCGGATTTCTTGAGCGCCACGAAGCTAAAGTGTTGGCGCTCCGCGCGGATTTCTTGAGCGCCACGAACCTGAAGTGTTGGCTCTCCGCGCGGATTTCTTGGATCCGCGCTGCGCCCCCCCCCCCCCCCCCCCGAGCGGCGCCTCCGGCGCCGCCCCTGGCGCGCTCCGCGCGCCGGGGAGGGGGGTCCAGCGCAGCTCCAAGAAATCCGCGCGGAGCGGCAAAAGTTTATGTTTATGGCGTGTTTTCTCCTCCGAGATAATATGCCAGAGCCTCCCGAAACGACCGAACTGTTTATGTTTATGGCGTGTCTTTGTTTGTTCTCGCTCTTCTGTTATCATTTGGAGCCCGCCTCCCTCAGGGCGTGGCGTGCCCTCGAGGAAGTGGCGACCCCCCCCCCCCCCGTGGTGGTGACCCCCCGTCGGCGCTGCCCCAAACAGGCCGCGGCAGGCCGTGCAGGTCTCGCTCATCTCGGCCACGACGGCAACCTCCTGGCCGAAGATCAGCCAGGACTCGAGGAGGGAGAAAGTGCAGAAGCAGAGCCTCAGGAGGGGAAATCAGCCCGACGAAGGACCCAGCCACATGCAGCTGCGAGCGCCGCGAGGGAGATGAGACGAAGGAGGGGGGCGCGCAGACTCCGAGTAGCGAACGCAGTATAGCCTTCTGCCACGAAACGGGTGAGGGGTGTGTCGACAAGAGTCGGGAGGACGCCTGCGAACGTCGACATTGGGGCATATCATGGAGCTCCCTATGGGGCCACGAAGCGTGTGAGGGGTGTGCCGACATGGGGCGGCGGTGCCGTGCGAACTTTCCCACTGGGGCCTGAGGTGGAGCTCCCTGTGGGGCCATGAAACGTGTGAGGGGTGTGCCGACATGAGGTGGGGCTCCTTATGGGGCCGCGAAGCGTGTGAGGTGTATGTGTGTGTGTGTGCCGAAATGGGGCGGCGGTGCCATGCGAACGTCACCATTGGAGCCTTCGGTAGAGCTCCCTGTGGGGCCACGAAGAGTGTGAGGTGTGTGTGTGTGTGTGTGTGTGTGTGTGCCGAAATGGGGCGGCGGTGCCATGCGAACTTGCCCACTGGGGCCTTCGGTGGAGCTCCCATGGGGCCGCGAAACGTGTGAGGGGTGTTCCGAAATGGGACGGGCATGCGGAGAGCAGTGGCAGGGAGGAGAGCAGGAGGAGGAGGAGGAGGAGGAGGAGGAGGAGGAGGAGGAGGAGGGAGGAGGTCTTCAAAACGAGGACCCAACACCACAGGATGGTTGGGAAAAAAACACACAGGCACAATGAACCGTTGACTCCCAGGAAAACATGGGAAACTATGCGAAGTGGGTGGGGAGAAGAGGAACACCGAGAAAATGTTGGAACAATATAGGGAATCCTGGTATGTGTGTCCACCTATTTGTGTGTCCCCAGGCTCCTCCTTTAATAATCTTCGGAGCTCCCCGCGGACTTCCTGGGTTGGCGCTTGGGCTCCCCCTAGCGGCGCCCCTGGCGCGCTCCCTGTTCCAGGGAGGAGGGATCGAGCGCCGATCCAAGGAATCCGCGCTGACCTCCGAGAGGTGCAGCCGCCTTTTTCCAGTCACGAGGACTACAGCCACCTCGCGCAGGGGATCGAGAAGGGCGCAGAGGCGGCGCGGGCCTTCCACGCGTTCCGCGCGAGGCTGAAGGGCATCGCAAGGACCATCGACGCTCGGAACGCGGGGCGGGGCGTCCCGTACCTGCAGATGCACCCAGACTACGTGGAGAGCTCGGTGGCCGTCTGAGGGCTGGGATTTGGGGGGGGCAGCTGCGCTCCGCTCGGGAGGCGCAGAGGGCCAGATTCATAAATCGGGCATGTCCCTCTACAGGAGGAATATCCAAGAGTAGGCCCAAAATTGTCCAGGGACGACTCTTTGAGTATATGTTGACTCCTTTTGGGCATTGCTTGGCTTTTTAAAAATAGCCCAACATCTATTGTTTGTTCCTACTTTTTAGAAATTAAGAAAAAACTTGAATTTTTCGTTTCAAATCCGCCTGTAGGGGGACGTGCCCGACCTGAGGCCCGATCAATCTGCGACGGCCCCGACGGCCCGAAGCTCATCTTCCTGCGGCGCCCAGAATTCTCTGCAGGCTCTCAGATGCTAGGGGTCAGGTCGGGCATGTCCCCCTACAGGCGGATTCTGTAGGAAGAAAAAATATAGTTTTTGCAAACAATCAAAATGTCGTCCCCAGACTATTTTTAGCTATTTTTGAATACTCCTCCCGTAGAGGGACATGCCCGACTTAATGCCAGGACAACAACATGTGAAAGTCAGTCGACTCTCTCTCTCTCGGGCTTCGAGCCGGGCCTACGGTGGAAGCCCGTTCCAAGAGACGCCCTACCTGCCTCCAGGGTGCCCTGGATTTCTTGGGCTTCGCCGGCTTCTGCCGTGGAGCACGTGACGCCCCGGTACCCCGGAACGTGCACAGGCTTCCGCGGAAAGTCTGTGCACGTCCTGAAGTTCCAGCCGCAGGCCTGGGCTTCTCGTGGAAGGCTTCTCGTGGTCGGGCCCCTGCTGTATCTGTGAGGCCCGCCGAGGGGCGAGCTCGCCCGGTGTGAGACGGTGGCGGCGTCCTCGCGCCTGCCGCCGGGCAGTGCGCTCGCCGCCGGCCTCCCGGGCTGCAGCGGCGAGCAGCGGGGCTCGACGGCCCGGTGGCGATAGGCCGCCGGCGGCCAGGCGCGCCAGGGCAGAAGTCGGAGGAGATGCAACGGCATGAGCATAAGCGTTTGGACATCCGCGCGGAGCCAAGACATCCGCGCGGAGCGCCAACAAGAGTTTCTGTTTACGCCGTTGCTGTCGTCTTCTAAGAAGGAGCCCCCCCATGCAGTTGTCGCGTGCTCCACGGGAATCGGGAGGGGGCAAGACACACAGACACGAAGGATCGTCGACGGGAGGTAATTATGGGGACATGTGGGCAGTGGGGGGGGCGAAGACGAAGACCTTGAGGATCTGGAAGAAGTTAGGGAATCTTGGGGGTTGTGTGTGTTTGTGTGTGTCCCTGGGACCCTTGACACAAGGAGCCCCGTGCAGTTTTCTCCCATAAACATAAACTTGGCGCTCCGCACGGATGTCTTGGATCCGCGCAGGGCCCCCCCTGGCGGCGCCTCTGGCGCCGCCCCTGGCGCGCTCCGCGCGCCAGGGAGGGCGGTCCAGCGCAGATCCAAGAAATCCGCGCGGAGCGCCAAAAGTTTACGTTTTTGCCGCTTCCTCTTCCTCCAACGACAGCGCCGGATCTCAGGGCGCGGCCGTTCGGTTTGGCCATGACTCCCGCGAGGGCGCTCCATACTACTCATGCGGCTCCAAAGAGGGACCCCAGGGGAGGGGACTTCTGAGGCGGGCGCTGCCGAGTTCTCAAGTCCGTTCGGCTTCACCCACAAGGTCGTTGCGCGACGCTTTCGCTCGCACTTGCCTCAAATTCAACGCGGTCTCAGAAGGCCCTTTCGCTGGCGCCCCCTTCAGGAACGACGAAGAGACCGCCACGCACGGAGGCCGCCCTCTCGCGGCGGGCCTCCCGCGGGGCATCCAGCGGCGCCGTTGCTTCGCCTTTGCTTTTGCCTCTCTGCGAATGGCGCGCTGGGCCGCAGCTTGCACAAAGAAAGCGCCGTCCCTCGAAGAAGAAGAAGAAGAAGATCGGCGGCGAGCAAGGGGGGGAAGCGAGAAGGGGAAGGCCTTCTCAGAAGGCGGCGGGCCTTCTCAGAAGCCCCCGCGCCTTCTGAGGAGTTTGCCGTGTCTCCGGGGAAGGCTCAGAAAACCTCTCAGAAGGCTGGGGGACGTCCGAGCCTTCCCAGAAGGCCCGCCCCTTCTCGCTTCCAACCCTCGCTCGCCGCCGAGAAGAAGAAGAAGAGGAAGAGACTTGGAGCCGTCTGGGGGTCTGAGGTGGCCCAGCACCGGTTCCGGCCAGCAGGGAGGGGGGGCGAGGTTCGAGGCTCGAGGTTCTGGGTTCGATCCGCTGTTTCCTCTTTTCGGCCTCTGGCGGGCCGTCTCCGGGCCCTAGGACCATCAGACAATTCGGGGTGAAAAATTGCACAACATGGACCTCGGGAGGGGTCCCAACCAGTTCAGACCTCACAGCGGCCTCTAAAAGAAACGGCATAAGCTCGGACTCACGAAGGTGAAGCGAAGTTAGACCTCCAGCGCCACCCTCCGTGCCTCACTCAGCGCTCGTGCGCGGACTGAGGGGTATATCCACCGCCATTTCAGGGTCGAGAGTGGGGTCGCTTGGTGCGGCCTGAGAGACTCGTTGCGTGGCCAATGACAACTCAGAGAATGGCGTGGTAGGCTACATCAACTTTCGGAGCTCCGCGCGGTTTTCTTGCATCTGCGCTGGGCCCTCGTGGCGGCGCCTCCGGCGCCGCACCTGGCGCACTCCGCCCGCCAGGGAGAGGGGGCTCCACAGCCGATGGGTGCGGACCTGCGAACGTTTACGTTCATGCCCTTTGTGCTTCCACAGCCGTGACAAAAGTTTCTTCAATTTGCTATGATGAAGATCTCTCCCATCGCTCTCAAGATTCCTATCAGGAGTGAAAGAAACACACAGACACAATTCATCGTCGTCTCTCAGGAAAATATTGGAAAATATGGGAAGTGGGGGGGGAATACAAAACCCAGAAAATATGAGAAAAGATGGGGGATCCTTTCATTTGTGTGTATTTATTTGTGTGTCCCTGGGCCCCTTCATCCTAACGTGACATAATGCTGGATCATTTGGCGGAGTAGTTTCCGATCCCAGAGAGAGACGTTAATAATTCTGTTACCCCAAAACGGGATTGGAAACTACTCCGTGCCAAAACATATAAGTTATCGAGCGGGATGCGATTGTGCGCGGAGTAGTTTTAGTAAAACTACTCCGAACTATTCCGCACGAGCGCGCCATTCCAAAAGGCAACTTGAAAGAAACTTTCGTCGCGGCAATGTCTTCTGAAGAGGGTGCCATCCTTCAGTGTCGTGCTTCGGGCCGCAGTTACGCAATACGCGCACCACGGCCACACCACAGTTCGGACCATAATTGGCTCGTCTTGAAGGCACCTGTGGTGAAGCTGATAATCCAGCTGCGCTGCCGCGCGAACACGCCATCGCACCCAGTGGGCGGCATCTGGAGTAGGGTTAAGTCGGGCACGTCCTTCGACAGGAGGAATATTCAAGAATAGTCAAAAGATAGTCGGGGGCGATCGTTTTACTGTTTCTAAGTATGTTTGAGCATGTTTTGATGATTTGTGATTGTTCCTCCAAAATCCGAATGTAGAGGGGGACGCGCCCGACCTGAGGGTAGGGGAAGAGTGGCGGCGGGGACATGCCATGGCTGTTAGTACTTACGACGTGGATAATTCGGTCTCTGGAACGCCCCTACGGCCGAACGTGGGGCCGAAATCTGGCGAAGCTGTTGAACGTTCCCCCGGCCAATGAGGAGCCCCTTGGGGGGGAACATGTGGGAGCGGAAAGGAAGGGAAGAGGAGAGGGAGGAGAAAGAGGAAGAGGAGGAGGAGGAAGAAAGGAGGTCCCTTGATGCCTTCTTGGGGCCTCCTGGGGGCCTCTTGGCGGCCTCCTGCACCCTCTCGGGAGCTTTGGGGGGGCTTCAGAGGGCCTCTAAGGGACCTCTTGGCCTTAGGAGGCCGTCTTGGGGATATCTCTGGGAAGTCGTGGATCCTTTTTTGGCCGCTTGAGGGCCGAATTCGAAGTATATAGGGCCGTCTTGGGGGGCCTTCGGGGCCGTCGTGCGGGCATATTGAGGGCCGTCTTGGGGCGATTTAGGGGGGCCTACTATGGGGCCGTCTTGGAGCGTCGGGAAACCCGAAAAGGAGAAAAGATTGAAACCATTTGAAAATCTAAGCAAAATTAGTGCTGCTGATCCTGGAGGTCCTCTTGGAGCTCTCTTCGGGCGTCCTGAGGGCCTCTTGAGCCGTCTGGAGGACCTCTTGGGCCCTTTTGGGGTCATCTTGGCCGTCTTAGAGGCGTTTTGGAACAGTGTTGGGGTCCATCTTGGGCCATCGTGGCCGTCTCGGAGGCCATCTTGGAGGCCATCTTGAGCCACCTTGGCCGTCTTGGAGGCCATGCAAGGGCCGTCTTGAGCGGGGAGACACACGACCCAGGGGGGGTCCGGGTGGCCGGCGGGCTGGGCCGAGACTTCACTTCAAATTGTTCAGAATGACCAAACTCGCTTACAAGTTCAGCACGCTGCGCACCCGTTTGGCAAGCCAACAAGGGGCGGCGGATCTACTGGCATCTCTTGAGGTGCCTCTCGGGAACCTCGTGCAGGTAGCTTTCAGGCCTCTTGGAGACCATTTTGGGGTCTCTTTCGGGCCTCCTGGGGGTTACATGGGGCCTCTTGGAGGCCTCTAGTGCGCCTGGTGGCGGTCTCGGGGGTCCTCATAGGGCAGAGGGCTCGAAACGGCAGCTCCTGTTCCACCTTTTGGGCCCCTCTTTAGGCGTCTTGGAGACCTCGTGTACCGTCTTGGGGTCTTCCTTGGCCGTGGTGGAGTCCTCTTGGGGGCCTCTTGGGTCGTGGGGCCATCTTGGGGGCCTTTTGGGCTGTCTTGGAGCGCCGGGACACCGCAAAGGCGAGAACGCCAAAATCCTTCAAAGACCTCCGGTAAATCAGTGATTGGTGCCTCCTGGGGGTGCTCTGGGAGGCCTCGTGAGGCGTCTTGGAGGCCTCTCGGGCCGTCTGCGGGTCGTGGGCGGGTCGTGGGCCTCTCGGGCCTCTCGTGGGTCGTGGGGCGACCTCTCGTCGACTCGGAGCCCTCTTTAGACCCCGTCGTGGGGCCCCGTTCGGCCCGAGCAGATGGCGCGGCAGGCCACGACGTGCCTCCTGGGCGAGCCGCGGCGCGCCCCGGAGGAATTCCGGAGATGTGGGGGCCCGAGCCCCCTTACCTGAGGATTTGAGGACTGGGGACCACCAAGGGACCTGGAGGCACTTCAACGTGTGCCTCGTGGCACAGTGGCGGATGTCTGCTTGAGAGAGGTCAGAAGCGCAGAGAAGGTCACCAACAGTGGCACTCTGTTGGGCTCGATGCGCCTGATGCCCCGCACGAAACGACAGCAGCACAAAAGCAGGAGCACGACGCGCACCCACACACACACACACACGCACATACATACATACATACATACATACATACATACATACATACATACGTACTTACTTACTTACTTATTTACTTACTTACTTACTTACTTACTTACTAACATACATACATACATACATACATACATACGTACATGCATACCTACCTACCTACCTACCTACCTACCTACCTGCCTGCCTGCCTGCCTACCTACCTACCTACCTACCTATCTGCATGCATGCATGCATGCATGCATGCATGCATGCATGCATGCATACATACATACATACATACATACATACATACATACATACATACATACATACAGACAGACAGACACAAACACACATACAATTTGTTGCGGTCGCACGCGGGCGGTGCGAAGAGCCTCTCGGCCATTCAAAGTTCATCGGAGTTGCACGCCCGGCGCAGCGGGCTAACGCCGGGCCAACGGCCGCCCCTGACGGGCCAGTGGCGGGGGCGGCGGGCAGCGGGCAGCGGGCGGGGAGCAGCGGGCAAAGGGGCGCCGAACGGGCACCGGCGGGAAGGGCCCCGCGGGCAGCGGGCGGCAGGCGGCGGGGCGACGCCAAACGGGCGTTGCCAGGGGGAGAGAGGGCGGCGACCATCCGGAGGCGCCGACCACAGACGGTGCGAGGCCGCAGAGAAGCTGACCGGCGGCCAACAGCGGCGCTCTGGAGCGCAGTGCACGACTGGGCTTTTGCGCCTGCGGTGGAGGACGCGGGGACGCACCACGAGATGAACTCGGTGGCGATGCCCACGACGGACACGTAGAGGGCGGGCGCGCCGCAGTGAAGGGCGCGGCGGGAAAGGGGAAAGAGGGCCAGGGCAGGTTGCCACGCGCTTGGGTCGCACGGGGCAGACGGCCAGCGGTCTTCGCAGCGAGGCGGTCGCATTTGATCCGCTGGCTGCGCGAGACAGAGGCTCTGCCGGGAGGCAGGTCGGCAGGCCGGGGCGGGTCGTCACGCAGCGGGCCGTCGGTCTGGCGGGGCCGACGGGCAAACGCGGCGAGGGGAGGCGGCCATTCCAGACCCACAGCGACGGCGTGCACGGCGCGCCGCGGGGCGGAGGGCGGCAGGGGCGGGCGCCGGAGGGAAGCGGGGCGCAGGGCGGAGGGGCGAGCGGCCGGCGATCCTCGCAGCGAGGCCATCGCTATTGATCCGCAGGCTGCGTGAGGCGGTGCGCCAACGGTGGGGGAGCCGAGCGGGGCTGAACCCGACGACGGGCAGCCTTGTGCGATCGGCCAGCGATCCTCGCAGTGAGGCCGTTGCTTTTGATCCACTGTCCGCGTGAGGGGCGAGAGCCGATACGAGCCGCCGCAGGGCGAGCCGACAATCCAGCAGGACTGCCGGGGCAAAGGCTGGGCAGGGCGGCAGCCAAGCCCAAGCAGTCGAGGCCCCAAGGGGCGAGGCTCAGGTCGGGCATGTCCTCCTACAGGCGGGTTCTCGAAGGAACATATACAGTAGGTCAAGAAGACTCGAAAACAGTCCGAACTGATCGAACCATCGTTCCAGACGTTTTTTTTGCTATTTTTGAGCGCTCCGCATGTAGAGAGCCGTGCCCGACTTGACCCAAGCAGTCGAGGCCCCGAGGGGCGAGGCTGGCGGCGGGGCGAAGAGCCGCAGGGCGGGCGGCCGACCATCCTCGCAGCGAGGCCGCCGTCACGGACAGCCGCTGGCCGGGTGAGGCTGGGCGCCCGGGTTCGCGGACGCCGCGGGGGCGGGCAGGCCCCGCGCCCGGCGCGGCGAGTGGAGCCCGCGGGACGGACGGCCGCGGGGGCTCCGCCCGGGGCGCGTTGCGCGCCCCGCGGGCTGGACTGGTGCCCAGCGCCCCCCCGCACCGATGCATCGCCGATGCGGCTCGATGCGGAGCCCGTTTTGCTTCCGACGTGGCCGATGCATCGCCGACATCGCCGATGCATCGCTGGTGCATCGGCCCAGAAGTATTCGGGTGGCGCACGAACATGTAAATCGAGGGCGAGAGCAAATATGGAATGGGCAGGGGGACTTGAAAGCAAACGGCCAAATTTCAAAGGCCGAAGAGGATGACGCCAAGTGCCAACATACGCGAAGCTTGGAAGACCTAGGTGCGTGGCGCGAAGCGCCAACACAGTCTTGTGTATATCTTTGTATATATATATATATATAGAGAGAGAGAGAGAGAGAAAGCCCTATTTATATACTTTTATAGGGCCTGGGACACCGGACGGACCCCGGACGGAGCCCCCCCCCCCCAAACGAGTTTCGGCCTTCCCCGAAATTTTTGGGCGGTCCCAGAGGCGCCCCAAACGGTCCGAGATACTCCCAAGAGGGGTCCACGAGCGTTCCAAGACAGCCCATCAGCCCGAACTGGCCCAAGAGGCTCCAAAGATCGCTCCAAGATAGCCCAAGAGGCCCCCCAAAGAGCCCGAAAACGATCCAAGAGAGTCCCAAGACAGCCCAACAGGGCTCCAAGACGGGCCCGAGAGAGCCCCAACAGCGCCCACAGAGGCACCCAAGAGGGCCCCAAGACGCCGCCAGGAGAGCCCCACGACGGCCAAAGGCCTCCAAGACGCCCCAAGACGGCCCAAAAGGGCCCCGAGACGACCCAAGAGAACCCCAACAGGGCCCTAAAAGGGATCCAAAATGGCCCCGAGAAGACTCCCAAGAGGCCCCAGAACGCTGCATAACACCAGGGTTCCCAACATTGAATTCAATGGTACCCCCCAGAAGCCTTCCAATAGTTCTTGTCCTTCTTCCTTCTTCTCCCCGTCTCCCTCCTTCTCTTTCCCGTTATCCTCCTGTTCCTCCTCCGTCTCTGTATACTCTCTGCTCCTCCTCCTCTCAGCCTCCTCCTCCTCGTATGTTTCGCTCCTGTTGCTCCTCCTCCTCCTCCTCCTCCTCCTCCTCCTCCTCCTCCTCCTCCTCCTCCTCCTCCCCCTCCTCCTCCTGATCCTCTTCATGTTCCTCTTCCCCACCCCGTCAAGATTCTAGCAAAACCAGTTTTCCTCTCTCTCTCTCTCCCACTTCTGTTTTGCGGAGTCCTTCCGCAGTTATCTCGGCTGTATCCCAAATCTCCTGATAATACTGAACGATGCCTCCTGGAAAGGCGGATGCGTTCGCGTGCGCTTCCTGCGCGAAGGAACGGGCAATGAAGGATGAGGGAAGGAAACGATAGGGAATGGAAGACAGTGTCAGCTCGATAACCACGAAAACGGCATCAAGTCGCTATCGCTTTTTTAAACTATGCACATATCTGTCATCCCGCCTGCTTGCTGCACTTGAAAGACCATGGTAGTCTGGCCACGTTCGCCTGAGACCCTCGCAGATTTGAGTTGCGAGATGCCCGGAGCAGCTGGTCCGGCCACTATCGCCTGAGATACGCATGTGTACGCGCACACATAGTTACACATACCAGTTGCATATACATGTACATACCCGTACACACGTGTAATTAAATGTACATATGTAGTATGTTTCCATAAGCGCATGCGCGCGCGCATGCGCGCACGCGCGCACTCCGCTAACATGCGCAAGTCTAGACGACCAAGGTGCATGGCGCACGGCGCCAATGCAGCCTTGTACATATATACACACAAGACTGCGTTGGCGCTGCGCGCCATGCACCTTGGTCCTTTTGAGTTCTGCACGCAAGCGGAATGCTTGCGCGCGCACATGCGCGCACGCACGTATACACGCGCACGCGCGTGCACGTGCAAATGGAAGGCACGAGGGCTTCCGGCGAAAATGGCTAGAGTACCATGGGGCAGTGCGTCGCCGAGGTCAGCGTGCGAGGACGTCTCCAGCGAAGAAGGCCTGAACACTCCCGCTCAGGACATGCCGGAACTCAGAGTTGCGAGGATGTCGCAAGCGAAGAAGGCCTGAACACTCCCGCTCAGGAGAGACCAGAACTCAACGACGCGAGGATGTCTCAGACGAAAGTGGCGGAATAACATGGGGCAAGGCATCTCGAAACTCAGAGCTGCGAGAACGTTTCTAGCGAAAGTGGCCCGAACACCTCGGCTGAAGGAGCTCTGGAGCGTAGAGTTGCGAGAAAGTTTCAAAGCGGAAGTGGCCGGACCACCCTGGGGCAGGGCTTTTCCGAGGTCAGTGTTCGGAGGGGGTCTCAGGCCACAGTGGTCTGATTTCCTCAGCTCAGGGCTCCTCGGAACCGAAAGTTGCGAGGGTGGCTCTGGCAGACATCCCCGGACGCAGAGTTGCGAGGGCGTCGCATGCGGAAGTGGCCGGACCACCTTGAGGTAGGGCACCTCCGAGGTCAGAGTTGCGAGGATGTCTTAGGCGCAACTGGCCCGAACACTATAGGGCGGGGCATATCCGAAGTCAGCCTTGCGAGGAAGTCTCAAGCGAAGAGTGGTCTGAACACCTCAGCTCAGGCATCCCGAAATCCAGAGTTGCGAGAAGTCGCAGGCGAAACTAGGCTAACCACCATGGCGCAGGGCACCTCCGAAGTTAGACTTGCGAGACTGTTTCCGGCGAAGTTGGCCTGAACACTTCCGAGAGGCGAAAATGCTAAAATTGCAAGTTTTGCGCAGGGAATGGGCCGATGTTTGGGTCTTGAAGGCCCCTTGGAAAGCTTCCTGGGGTGCCTTAGGGGTCTTTCGGGCCGTCCTGACGCAATTGGAGTGCCTCTTGGAGCGCTCTTGTGCTGTGTGGGGCCTCCCTTGAGCCTTTCTGATGACCTCTCGGATCGCTCTGGGTCTGCTGGGAAGGCGTTAGTAGAGACCCGGAAAGCCGGGTGACCTTTTCCCAAGGACGTCCAAGGGAGCCCGAGAACCCCAGATCCCGGGGGTCCAGTTTTTTTCGGGCGGGGGGAATGGTTCCCCCACCCCCCCGGGCTTGTAAAAATATAGGAAGGGGTGTGTATATATATATATATATATATATATATATATATATATATACAGACATACATGTGTATGTATGTGCATATACATATACATACATATGTACATACATATATATATATATATATGTACATATGTATATATGCATATGTGTATGCAAGTATTGAACTAATAAGGGTATGTTGTCTTGATAACTTCGGGTAGCGGAGCTGGGGTCCACGGACCTTGCCCGACAGGGCTGGTGAAATCTCTTTTCCACCTCAGCATGAACTGAGCCAAAACTGGCTCTCCACAGCACACAAATGTCACAACAGCGCATGCGCAACAATCCTCACTCAAATCACTGATATATCCCTTGTTTCCTGCACTCCTCCTCGGGCCCATCTGCAGCTTCATGCCAAGATCGGGCACGTAACCTGGAAACATATCAATATCGAATCATGGCCAGCGAGCGAGGGTGCCAAATCCCGACCAACCCATCAACATTGTAGATCTTGTCCTGACTTATCTCGTTGAGGGCGGTCGCCACGCATGCTTCGACCACCATCGCCTTTGTATATGTCGAGATGGCCCGATCCACCCGCCGTAGTCGTAGAAACTCCCGTCCACTGTCTATAGTCATAGCTGCGAACATAGCCCGAAGATCATTGGCCACGATCTTGCTCGTAGCTCCATTCTTCATCGTGTCCTTCAGGCTGTACTGAGTTGAGACATCTTTCTGTGCTGGCTGCATGATACGGTCGATGTGCTGCTTGACTTTGAAGACTGCACTCGCTGCGATAACATTCAAAAGGGTGAGCATCATCATCACGACCGTTGTGGAAACGCCAAAATGGCTCTCGTCATCTGCAGGGCTTGAGATCGCGACTGGCTGGTAGTCACCTTTAATTATCTCAGTAGCATCTGCGCGTCCAACTTGGAGAAACGCACCAAGACCCACTAAGCACTGGGTAAGTGCACCCATTAGCTCCAGCGCAGGTTTACCGATCTGGCCCTTCTTGTCGTTGCTTGAACTCGAAACTCCTCCAACTTCACCTTTTCCAGTAAGCCATATCTTCATTGCCGTCAGATGCTTCATGAAATCGATCCTCGACAAATGCTTCGTCCCGATGTCTGCTGCATTCTCCTCGGTATGGACCTTGTTGGCGCTGACCTTCGTCTCCGCCTTCCGTGCGACGAGGTCCGTGATCCACAGGTCCTTCAGCTCGATATGGCGCATCCTACCAACTCCCTTCTTCTCGACATTCGTGAGCGCGCTAGAGTTGTCACTCTCCAGCGTCACAGGCACTGTGTCGTCCAGGAGCTCCTTGAGATATGTCTGGGCACCCCTCGCCTCGATACCGACGCGCACGAGCGCGTTGAACTCGGCCTCGGGCGACGATAGTGCTGGAGCCCCTTGTGTTTTGACAAACTGCATGATCAAAGCTCCATTGAGAAACAACTGACCACAGCTGGTAGACTTCCTTCCGATTGGGTCATCTGCCCAGTTTGAATCTGCACGTCCTATGATTCTGAACTCACCACTGTCTGGATACATACATGTCACCGACGACGGATGAGCTCGAATGAACCTGATGATGCGTATAAGTCTCGTCTGGTCCTGCACCGTGGGTCGCGACATCCCCCTCGAGCACTCCTTCGCCGCGTACTGGCGCTCAGGCCTCTCTAAGCAAACGAACATGTTGAGGCCGTTGGTGCTTCTGAACCTCGCGGCCGCCTTTGCGTCCAACCCCTCTCATTCTTGATTCCAGGTATTGGGCTCGTCTTCTTATCATTGGGCTCAGAGTCGAGTAGCTTCTTCGCAATAGCAGGCCACATACGAACTTGAATACCCTCGGGGGTACGGAGCCAGCCACGTCCAAGATGCTTGATCTCTGGACCACCAACCGTACGTTCTGAAACCTTAAGCAGAAAGTGTGTGCCGAGCTCCTCCAAAACTCTGCTGGCTGAAACTCTGGGCCCAACCAGTGTACCGTCATCGACATGCTTGGACATCGCCACCTGATTGGTCTTGTCTGCGAACGTGCACGGATCCGACAGAAACCTCTTGAAAGTCATCTTTGATTCATCACTCCGTCCTGTAGCAATGTTCTCGAAGTGGCCATCCAAATCTCTCATTGCCTCGTTGAGTCCATAAACTGTCTTGTTGAGCTTGAAAACCCAATCTGAACTGGTAAGTGGCAGTACTCCTTCGGAACCTCAGCATAAACCAACTCCCGAATAGGTGTATTCAGAAACGCTCGAGATAGATCGAAGAAGTAAATCGCAAAGGCCTTGACGATAGCGCACGCCATGAGCAACTTGAGTGAAAACGAAAGTGGAGTGGGGCAATGCAGCTCGCTCTTGCTCTTGTTGATCTGCTTACCGAATGGCCTCGCACAAAGCCTTGCCTTGAGCTCGCCACTCCTCATCTCCAAGACCCATGTCCATGTAAGAGCCTTGGGCCCGTGAGGGCCCCTGAGGGTGAGCTCCCACGCGTCGCAGTTGTCGAACCGATCCAGCTCGCACTGCTTCGCCTCCCACTCGTCGTCCTCCGTCCAGCCCATCACGACGCTGAACTCGCTGTCGTCCTTTGTCTCTCTGTCGACCTCGGCCGCAAGCCTCGTCATCTCCTCGGCGCTGAAGCCTGCCACGAGCCTCTTGAGGTCCTCCGTACTCATGTCCTCGATGGCTCCAACCAGACCTCGATTGCCAGGTGGGCCCCCAGGGCCGCCTTCGCCAAGGTCTGCGTCAGCAGCTCCCCGTTTGCTAGACGATCCCGGGGTAGGAGCCTCCTGCTTGCCACGAAGCCTCCTCTCGATCCTATGCACCTGCTGCCGGACCTCCGAAACTGGATCTCGACTTTGTGCTGGCTCTGGCCCTGCTGGTGCTCGTTGATTGCCATGGCCTGCCTCGGAGCTGACCGCGGGCGCTGGAACTCCGACGACCTTGGGCTGCTCCTCGGTCTTGCTGGCAACAGTCTTCTCATACTCGGCCCGACGTTGCTGGCATGTCCTGCTGCGGTGTGGTGGTCGGCCACGTCCGCGCTGACCCTTTGCTGCGTACTCACACCCAGGACATCCCTCCGTTGGCTGCCAGCGCTCGCCGTCATAGACTCCATCCTTCACCGAGGTCTTCCACGGCGTCCATCGCATAGCTCTGAGAATCTCCGTATCGAAACTCTCCTCCTTCGTAAGCTGTTTCACCGTCCTGGTTTGAACTATCCCCGTTGCTGTACCTATGATGTGAGCGTCACTCTTCGCACTGCGTCCAAGCCACATCCCTTTGCACCAGGCCGTGCCCAGCTTGTTCTGCAGCTCGGTGTGCCCCTTACCGATCACCGTCTCCCCGAACTCCAGCATGGGTGGTGTATACGGTGCCAATCTCAACTCCTCAAAAGATGTGCGACCGCTGCTCCTCCTCCGCTGGTATCTGCTGTGGCAGAATATCTGATGACGTATCATCCAGGGAATGATGGGAACATCCTCCGTGAACTTCATGTTGCAACGTCTCTCCAGAGCCAAACGCCCAGTCCTGGCAAGACCTGCTACAGACTTGACTCCACTCTCAGCTCCTCCTTGAGACGCATGGCTTCCTGTCGGAACCAGCCGTGCTCGGAGTTGAGCCTCCGCAGCCTCCTTGCCAAGCTTCTTGATACGCTCAGACACAACCCCATTCATGAGGGCCCCCAGTGCAGGTTCGCCGTCCAACTGCACTTCCATGCTCATGTAGCCCAGCTCGTCCAAGAACTCGCTGGTGGCTGCTATGGCGTAGCTCTGGTTCTCTTTCGCCTCGACAACAACTCCCATGAGGCATCCAGTCCTTCGGTCCTGGCCCACCGCCAGGGTGAGTTTGTGACCAGCGCCATCTCCGCCAAGACTGGGACCCATAGTCAAATGAGACAACTGGAGTAGCCGATGCGTTTGGATCCCTTGCGCGGCGAGGGTCTTCTTGCCCCCTTCCCATCATGCACTCCTGCCACCAAGCCTCGAAAGGTACATGACCTCTCCGAATGTGCGCTCTGGCAAGTTCTCCCAACACTTGAACTGGCCTCTTGAGACCAGGTGCGGCGGGCGTCCCTAGCGAATCCTGGGCCCCACCAGCGGCACCACGTGGGCCGTCACGTGAACTAGCCGCCCCACTGCTGATCTGCATCTCGGCAGGCTCCTGCTCGACGGACCCCTCCTTCATCTGTGCGTCCTCCTTCTCAGGTTGCTCGTCGACGTCTCCGATGATAGACTCGTCGCCCGTCGGATCCTTGAACCTCATCGGAAGAAGAAATGCATTCACCTTCCGACGTAGCTGGAGTGAAACAGTAGACTCCAGTGCTTTGTCAATCTCATGCTGCACATTCTTGTTGCTTCTGAACATCTTGGCTCCGTCAGGGTCGAAGTGTACTGAATAACCTGCATCGTTCATCTCCGCGACTTCAGCTGGAGTGACGTTGAGCTTCGCACTGATCGTCGCATTTGAATCGAAAACCTCTCCAGTCAACGTGCGCTTGTCCCATGTCCGTATACCCTTTCCAGTAATCGATCGCAGGGACTGACCTGGCTCGCCCGTGTGTTCGCACCCATCCGTCACAGTCTTTGGTACGGCATGAGTGTGAGCTCCACTGTCAACGAGCATCCCGCATTCGTCCCCGCCGTGGTCGTCCGTGAACGCAAAAATCCACCCCGCTTCGTCCTCTGGTAGTACTGCCGCCTGCACCCGTCCAGGCACACGTGTTGTGGCCTGCGTGGGTACCGACATCTGTGATGCTAAATCGCCTGGATGGACCGTACTTGCTGTGCCCGATCCAGGTGGCTGTGAAGATCCTGGCTGGACCTCTGACACGGACCGTTGACCTCCTCCAGATTGGTACGCGCCGCCCCCGTACTTCCTGCAACCCGCCATCTTGTGCCCATACTTGCCACAGTGCGGGTTAGAGCACCATCCGTCGAAGAACTTCACCTCTCCCTTCATACTTTTTGTCTTGCCTTTACCGTCGCTTTTGCCGCCTCGGCCCCCTACGCCCTTTTGGCCGCCCGCCTTGCCGCCCTTCATGTCTGACCTGCCGTAGCCCTTCCCCTTGGAGTCGCCCTTGCCACCTTGGCCGAAGGCGTCTACGTCCATGGCATTGGGGTCGAACTTCTTCTGGGCCGTCTTCGTGTCTCGCTGGCTCATCTGCTGAGCGAAGGACTCGCAGGTCTCACGTAGAGTCTGATAGGACGTGAACGTGTGCATCATCACCTGTGTCCTGAGCGGCTCGGGCGTGTTCTTCCTGATCATAGCCTGGATGAGGGCGTCCGAGATCATCTCACTGAACTTCTCCTGATACCGATCGACGTCCAACAGAAACTTCGTGAGCTCTTCGACGTAGGTCTCCCATTTGCTTGAAAACTCTGTGTTCACTAACAGCTGCAGCTGCGTCACCTTGTTGGAGCTTGTCGCCGCATCTTCTCGCATGCATAGTCGCCCCCACTGCTCCAATCCATTTCCTTGCTCGCAGTTCATCACCAAGGTGAGCAAGCTGCCTCCCAACAGCTGTGACATAATGTATCCCATCGTCGCTGCATACTGCTTGTTATCGTCTCCCATCTCGGTCAACGTGATGACCGTGCCGTGGCTAGCTGCCGTTGTCACTGCTGATGCCAACCTCGGGTCAATCGCGCCAAGGTAGCTGATCAGCTGATATCTGAAAGTCGGAAACTCATCTCGATTGCCTGAATACTTGTTCGGTCGTCCCAACAGGCGCGTGTCTACAAGACCAGCCATCTGGAGAAGAAACCAATCACGCTACCATGCAAATACTGAACTAATAAGTGTATGTTATCTTGATAGTTCGGGTAGCGGAGCTGGGGTCCACGGACCTTGCCCGACAGGGCTGGTGAAATTTCTTTTCCACCTCAGCATGAACTGAGCCAAAACTGGCTCTCCACAGTACACAAATGTGTCACAACAGCGCATGCACAACAATCCTCACTCAAATCACTGATATATCCCTTGTTTCCTGCAATATATATATATATATATATATACATATATATATATATATATATATATATCCTTCGCCCTAAATTTGATAAGCCCAGGCGGGGGGGCAATCCCCCACCCCCACCCCCACAAAAACGGATTCCCGAGATTTGGGGCTTTGGGACCCTCTGCACGGGCCTCGAAGCGGCCTTCCGGGCTTCGCAGGGCGTTTTGCCAAGCCTTCGCAGCACTTCTAGGGCGATCAGGGAAGTCTTCGGTGACGCCCCAGAGACCCCCAAGACAGCACAAGTGCGCTCCAACAGTGACCGACGTGACCTCAAGATGGCCCAAGAAGCTTCCAGGGCGGCCCCAAAGAGGCCTCCAAGTGCACTCCCAAGAAGGCGCCAAGAGGCACAAGTCATTGATTTTCTTTGAGTTTTTGCTTAATTTGGGGGTTCTCTTCGTTTCGGCTTCCCGACGCTCCAAGACGGCGATCTTCTGGGCGTCCGAAGCCGCCTGGGAGGCTCCAAAATCGGCCCATAACCATCCGAAGGGGCTTCCACGCAGTCCAAGAGAGCCCCAAAACGGCACAACGCGGGCCCAAGATGGCCCTCAGAGAGCCCCATGGCGGCCCAAAATGGCCCCAAGACACCCTCCGAAGCATTCCAAATCGTGACCCGGTCGTTCAGGGAGACCGCGGTTGGAGGCAGGGTGGCCCGAGGAAGGCCCCAGAGGCCCCCAGAATACGCCCAGGATGCCTCGGCTTTAAGAAAGCCTGAAACAACTTTTGTGAGGACCCCAGAGGCTCTCCAAGGAGGAGCCTCCGCAAAAAAAGAGCTGAGGATGATGGGGAGAATTCGCAAGGCATTGCGAAAATGATGAAAAAGAAGCACGGAGGAAGGATAACGAGTAACACGATTATAGCGGCGATGCCGGGAAAAGCAACAAGGACTTATCGCTAAATTGTCGGTTTGACCTTCCTGCAATTCCGCCGGCATGCCAAACTTGAAGGACCAAGGTGCATGGCGCGAAGCGCCACTGCAGTCTTGTACCTAAATATACACACTTGTGGCGTCGCGGCCACGCTCGCAGCGACGCGGCGGAGGCAGTTGGAGAATCACACACACGCACACACACACACACGCGCACACACATTCTCTCTCTCTCACACATTATTTCTCTTTCTCTCTCTCTCTCTCTCTCTCACACGCGCACACACGCACGCACGCACGCACGCACGCACGCACGCACGCACGCACGCACGCACGCACGCACACACACACACACACACCCACACACACACACACACACACACGCACGCACGCACGCACGCACGCACGCACGCACGCACGCACGCACGCACGCACGCACGCACGCACGCACGCACGCACGCACGCACGCACGCACGCACGCACGCACGCACGCACGCACGCACGCACGCACGCACGCACGCACGCACGCACGCACGCACACACACACACACACACACACACACACACACACACACACACACACACACACTTTCTTCGGCCACCGCGCGCACGCACGGCTGGGTGTTAAAGTACGGCCGGCACTGAAATTAACCGAGGTGGCAACGCGGGCAAGAGCGGTAGCCGCCCACTTCGGTGCAGAACAAAACGAGCCAGCGGAATTGCCCGAAACAGACCGTTATCCCTCCGACGAACCGCTTGCTCCAAACGGCGGGCGCGACAGATACACACGCACACAACACACACACACACACCACACACCCACACACACACACACACACACACGCACGCACAGAGACCAATCTCTGCAAGCGAAGTGGTGGATCCCCCGATGGCCAAAAAGTCGGGAGGAGGATGTGGAGGAGGAGGAGGAGGAGGAGGAGGAGGAGGAGGAGGAGGAGAGGAGGGAGGAGGGGAGGAGGAGGAGGAGGGGGAGGAGGAGGAGGAGGAGGAGGACGAGGAGGAGGAGGAGAGGAGGGGAGGAGGAGGAGGGAGGAGGAGGAGGAGAGGAGGAGGAGGAGGAGGAGGGGAGGGGGAGGAAGAGAGGAGGAATGAGGAGGGGGAGAGGGGGAGGAGGAGGGGAGAGAGGAGGGAGGAGGAGGAGGAGGAGGAGGAGGAGGAGGAGGAGGAGGAGGAGGAGGAGGAAGAGAGGAGAAGGAGGAGGAGGAGGAGGAGGAGGAGGAGGAGGAGGAGAAGGAGGTGAGGGGCAGTGCAGGTCCACAGCCTCTTGGCTCAGGATCGTTTTGTTGCCCCGCTGCCCTGCCCGGCACCTCCGCAACGCGGCGCGACGCGACGCGGCGCGCCGCAGCGAGGCGGCCGATGGTTGCGCTGCCGCGCGAAGTCGTCTTCGGCGCCTTCTGCGTGGCCGCGCAGCTCGTCTCGGCAGGGGGCCAGCAGAGACCATTCCGGAGAGAAACAAAAAACACACACACACACACAATTAATCGTTGATCCCCCGGAAAAGATATAGGAACACTTGGGAAGTGGGGTGAACCGAAAACCCAGACAATACATATATATACACACGCACAAGACTGCATTGGCGCTTCGCGCCATGCGCCTTGTTCCGGACGCTTCCCTGGCAAAGCAATAAATCATCGTTTTCTTCAGCAGGGAGGACCTCGAGGCCTGGACGGGCGACCCGCCCATTTTTCCTATATCCGGGGTGCCTGCTGACACCGCTTTCGGACGATGCGTTGGCACGCTTGTGCGCAGGAGTGGGGAAATCATGCTGATTTTTTCGCGCGCGAAGGTCCTTTGAGGAAGTAAGGAGCGTTCCCATGACACGCCGAAGAAGTCACAGTAGCTCCGAACACATCGATTTTTGATCGCTTCCCGAATGCCTGGAGGGCTCCAGGCACTCAGGAAATTTTCGATCGTCGAATTTCGAATCTAGATCCATTGCCTGTCTCTCTCGATCGGGTAGCTACTGAAACCTCGAGCCTCAAACGTGGAACCAAGATCGTCGGGTCAGCTTGATGTATTTCGTAGGGGAACGCCGTCTGGTCGTTTTTGGTGCTCTTTTGTGCCGTCCTGGGGCACTCTTGGGCCGTCCTGGGGGCTTCTTGGGCCGCCTTGGGGAGCTGGGGCCCTCCAGAGGTCTTCTGAAGCCATCTAGGGCCCTCTTGCGGGCCTCCAGTGGTGTTCTTGGAGGTATCCCATGGCTTTCGTGGGTCTCTCTTGGGAGCCTTCTGGGGGCATCTTGGGCTTCTTGTGGGTCGTCTCGGGGCTCTCTGGGGCAGTCTTGGGGCCCCCTTGGGCCGCCTTCAACCTCTCTAGGGGGCCTCCCGGGCCGTCTTGGGGCGAGATTGAGGGCCCATTGGGCCGTCTTGGACGCTGCGAAGACCCGAAAAGCGGATATGCACAACAAATGTATTTCCTAAGGGAATTTGACGATTTTGGCTTCTTCGGGGCTCCCTTAACGGCCTCTTGGGGTGTCTTGGGGGCCTCTTGGGCCGTCTTCAGACCATCGAGGTTCCTCTTGGAGCGCTCTTGCGCTGTCTTGCGACCCCTCCAATCGCCTTCAGTCGGCTCGCAAGGCCCAGCGAGGCGCCCTGGGAGGCCCGGAAGGGCCACCGAACCTTTTCCAAGAGCGTCCAGGGGGCCGCCGAAACGTCCGAAAGGGCGTCCGGAGCGTCCCTGGGGGAAGGATTCGGTTTAGGGGTGGGGGTCGGGGGGGGGGGTCCGGGTAATAAAAATATAAGTATATACATATATATACATATATACACATATGCATATGAAGATATGTGGAGAATCGTGGGATCCTGGGAACAAAGATGTATATACATATATATATATATATATATGTATGTATATATGTATATGTATACATAGATTAATGTGTGTATATATATAGGTATGGAGATATCTACATATATGAAGATATGTCTATTTATCTGTGTGTCCCTGGGCCCCTTTAGCCACGGCGGCGCTGCCGCCCAGCCCAGGTCCGCTCGGATTCCGCCCCCGAACCCCTCCCGGGGTCCCTGCTCACCCGTTGGTCGGGCCGGAACCCGCCGTGGCGACATGCAGCCTCCACGAGGCCGAATGGAACTGTGGACGAGAAACGCCGGGGAGGGCCGCCGTCCCCAGGCATCTGGCGTCTCTCGATGCGTTCGAGGCACAGGCCCCCTCCTCCTCCTCCTCCTCCTCCTCCTCCTCCTCCTCCTCCTCCTCCTCCTCCTCCTCCTCTGCCCTCCTCCTCTTTCTCCTCCTCCTCTGCCCTCCTTCTCCTCCTCCTCCTCCTTGTTTGCCTCCTCCTATCTTGCGCTCGACAAACATAGGCGACGAGGCTGTTGCGTTCCTCCTCCTTCTCCTCCTCCTCCTTCTCCTCCTCCTCCTCCTCCTCCTCCTCCTCCTCCTCCTCGACCTCTTCCAATGCCACCTCCTCCACCCCACTCTCCCGACCTCTCGACCACTTCCCCGAGACCGACGTTTCATCCCGAGTCACTTCTGACGGCCCCGAGGCCCGGCGAGGGCTCCGATAGGGGCCGAAGACGATGTGAAGAGTTTCCGCCCCGATCTCTTCGGGAATCGCTGGACGTCTGAGGCTGTTATTCGGGGGCGACCCCGGGTGGGAGTGAGAGGGGGCGGGCAGATTCTGAGAAGGCTCGGAAGTCCCCTGGCCTTCTGAGAAGTTGTCTTGCCTTTCCCCGAAGACCCAGAAAACTTGTCTTCGGACGGCGCGATCACAAGGGCTTCGAAGAAAAGCTCCGCCACCTTCTGGGAAGGCCTCATCCTTATTCCCCCCTCGCTCGCCGCCGAGTTCCAGACCCCCCACGTCATGATTTTGTTCATGACGTCGACCCACAGAGGTCTCGACCTATTCCCCGGGACCACTTTGCATCCTGAGTCGTTCGTGACGGCCCCGAGGCCCGGCAGGGGCCCCCAGAGGCCGGAAACATCGAGAACATAAATACCCGTCGTGATTTCTGCCCTTGCCCGAGGGGGCCTGGGTCCCTCGCCTGGCCCTCCTCCGACCCTCTACTCCCAGCTCTACCCGCTCCTGGCCGGCAGCGCCGGCGCAGCTCCGCCCCCGGCGGGCGCGCCCCCGGCCGCGGCGGCCCCCGCTGGGCGCGCCGAGGGCGAGCGCCTGGCCGCGGCGCGGGAGCGCCCCGGGCGAGCGCCAGGCGGACCCGGCGGGCGATCGAAGAAGACAAGCTCGGGAGCTTTGGATAGGGGAACAGCCCCAGACCCCCTCGAGTTATGGAAAAATCACGACGGGGGGGGGGTCATTTTTTTTGTCCTGTGGGGCCCTTACGGCCCTCGGGACCGTCAAAAAACGACTCAGGACGAAAAAACCGGTCCCGGGGAATGGGTCCAGACAGCTGGGGTTGACGTCATGAAAAATCACGACGTCGGGGGTCTTGGGACAAGTGACATGACATTAAAAACTCGGAGGTCCGCGCGGATTCTCGGATCGGCGCTGGGGCCCCCCGGCGGCGCCTCCGGCGCCGCCCCTGGCGCGCTCCGCGTGCCAGGGGGGGGGGTCCAGCGCCGATCCGAGAAATCCGCGCGGACCTCCGAGTTTTTGTGTTTATGACATTTTCTGTTCCCCTATTTGAGACGGGGGTCCCAGAACCCGTCGAGCAACGAAAGAGTCACGACGGGAGACTGTTCATGATTTTCGGCCTCTGGGGGCCCTTCCTGATGGGTCGAGAACTTGGGGGGTCGACGTAATGAGAAAAACATGACGGGGGTCTGGGGTCAATGCAAACGGGGGTCAGCCAGAGCGCCCGATCTTGCAGGATCCTGCAAGGCCAGGGTCGCATTGACCCGGTTTGGGCGCAGGGTCCTGCAGGATCTTGCATGATCTTTTGCATTGACCCGGGCTTCAGGGTCGCACTGACCCGTGCTTGGGTGCAGGATTTTGCAGGATCTTTCGCACTGACCCGGGTTTAAAGTGCAGGATCTTGCAGGATTCTGCAAGGCCTGATTGACCCAGGTCTGGATTGACCCGGGTCTGAAGATCCCCGACAAGTGCAGAGAGCTTCTATCGAAGAAGAAAAGACGCCATAAACATAGACTTTTGGCGCTCCGCGCGCTTGCTCGGATCCGCGCGGGGACCCCCCCAGCGGCGCCTCCGGCGCCGCCCCTGGCGCGCCCCGCGCGCAAGGGAGGGTGGTCCAGCGCAGATCCAAGGAATCCGCGCGGAGGGCCAAAAAGTTCATGCTTATGGCGTGCGTTTTTTTCTAAAGTGTAGGGCTTCCAGCCCAGACCCCTTCGAGTCATGAAAAAAGCACGACGGGGGGTGTTTCACTATAATTTTTGACCTCTGGGGGCCCTTGCCGGGCCTCGGGGCGGTCCAAGAACGGCTCGGGATGAGGAACCGGTCCCAGGGAATGGTTCGAAACCTCTGGGGGTCGACATTACGACAAAATTCATGACCTCGAGGGTCTGGGAGACGGAGTCGAAGTATTGAGAAACAAACAATGACATAGATAGGTATCAAAAATTCAGAATTTTTGATACCTATCTATGTCATTGTTTTAAATTCTGAGGTCCGCACGGATTCCTCGGATCGGCGCTGGGGCCCCTTGGCGTCGATTCCGGCGCCGCCTTTGTCGCGCTCCGCGCAGCAGGGAGTGGGTCCAGCGCCGATCCGAGAAGTCCGCGAGGATCTCCGAGTTGTTATGTTTATGTCGTTGTCTGTTCCCTTACAGTAGATGGGGTCGTAGCGCGTAATGTCGCTACGTCATCTTGCGTAAGGTACCTTTCTTTTCGTCGCTCATGTGGAGCCCGATTTTCTCCATTTCGATGGTGTCACCGGTGCATCGCCAATGCATCGCTGATGCATCGGCGAATCGGCGCGATCCTCCGACCCCATGCGCCTCGACCCCACCTGGAAGGCCTCTCACGAAGAACCCAGACATCCCAGGCATGGACGAATCAAGAGGAAGGGTTTCTCCCTTCTCGGCCTCTGGAGGCCTTCGCCGAGCCCCGGAACCGTCAAAATATTATTCGGGTGAAATCGGCCAGACGTAAGAGTGACCTTTCGCCGGAGGGACCTTTGGTGCGGGCACACTGGGGCCCCCAAGTGACTCCACGCGAGGCGGTAGCAGCGTCTTGCGCGCTCGGGTGTTGCCCCCCCGCGGCCCACAAGAGGCCGCGCACCAGAGGTCACTCTTACCCAGGGCCACTCTTGCACGTGGCCGATGAAAGACCGGCCCAGGGGAGGGTCGAGACTTCCGGGGACCCCGTATCCCAAAGAACACGGCATCGCATCTCTGGAAAAAAGAAACTCGGGGGTCCCAAACGGTGCGGTGGCTACACCGGGCGGTGAGTCGTTCTGAGGCTCGGGCCGTTCTCCGAGGACGCCTCAGGCAACTGGGGCCTCCAAGGCCCAAGGGCCTCACCGCACGTTCTGCCACCGAACCGCTCCGGTGTGCCGCCATGAAACGGCATGAGCACACCATTTGCTCGAAGCTCCGCGCGGGGTGCCTGGGTCGGCACTGGAGCCCCCTCCCTGGCGCGCGGAGCACGCCAGTGGCGGCGCGGGAGGCTTCGCTAGGGGGGGGGTCCCGCGCCGATCCCAGAGATCCGCCCGGAGCTCCGAAAGTTTGTGCATGAGTGGCTGGGTTTCCTTCTAGGTGAGGCGAAGGTCGTGGAGAGCACAGATTTCGCGTCATCGACGGCGGTAAGGAAACGACGCGGGGCGGACAGGCCAAAGTACCGAGTGGGACAGGTGTTGCGGGACAAGGTGTTGCTGACCCGTGGGGTCGTAGTGGGCTGGGACGAGACATGCCACGCACCAGAGTGGTGGCGCGTGAGGCGCTTGGCCCAGCAGGAGAAGCCAAGATGCCGCATTATCTTTTGCTTGCAGACCACAGGGACCTGAGCGAGGAGCTGGAGAGCATGGGAGCAAACAGCACAGCAAACCTCACTTTCTACGCGCCAGAGGTGGCGCTGGAGCCAGGCGCGACTCCACTGGTAAGTCCGCTGATGCCCAGATACTTCCACTTCCTAGACAGCTCGCAGGATATGTACGTGCCTCGTCCCGACTTGGCGCGCCTATACCCAGACGACGTGGGATCGCACTACAGAGACCATGCCAGCAAGGAGGAGCTCCCAGAGACCGACGCGAAAGGGCAGCCACTGCTGCGGGTGGTGCAAGATGGCAGGCTCATCGCACATGGCCGACCAGTTCCTGTGCTGCGAAAGGGGATGTTCTTGGTCGCCACCGAGGGCATTCAGGACCAGATGTTCGGGCAGTCTGTTATCTTGCTGCTGAACCACAGCGACTACGAGGGCACGCTGGGTGTCATAGTCAACAAGCCGATAGAGGAAGCCGTGAAGAAGCAGACGCTGAGGCACGCGCAATCCAACTTGGACGCGTGGAGGAGCATGGGCAGGGATTATGGGCGGGCAGAGGCGCTGCTGGCGCTGCTGCGAGTGCCCGGCGTGGACCTGCGGATGGGCGGCCCAGTCGGCATGATGGAGTTCCCGCTGGGCACGGCGCACGTGGTCCTGCACCCCTTCCCCGACGTAGATCGGAGAAGGAGGGGCGCCCTAAGCACAAACCTTCTGAGGTCCTCGCGGCTGTCCTGGGTCGGCACTGGGCCCCCGCGAAGCGCGCCGGGAGCTGCGCCGCAGGCGCCGCCAGGGGGCCCAGCGCCGATCCGAGAGATCCGCGCAAGCCTCCGAAAGCTTGTGAGGGTGCCGTTCCCTCCTTCCTCGAGCAGAGGGCGCCCAGCTCGCCCTGGCGGGCTCCGGCTCCGGCGCCGACCAGGACTCGGCCACGCGCAGAGGGGGGTGGGGGAGGGGGGAGGGCTTCGTTGAAGCACCCCTGGTTCTCAGAAGGCGCGGGCCTTCTCTGTAGATTGAGGCCGGCGCCTTCTAAGAAGCAGCCTCTTTCTAAGAAGCCCTCCCCCTCCCCCATACGCCCTTGTGCGCGCCGCCAAGATATGATGTCCCAACCTACTTACGCCTTGACCACCAGCAAGAACTTCCAGCACCAAGGAAGTACCGAAACGGGAGGACTTTCGCGTATCGGGCCTTGGGAGGCGATACTCGTTCGACACCGCCTCGACACCTTCCTACAAGCCTCGTCAAAAATATCCAGAAATGGAAGTTGAAATCTCGGCCGGATGGCGATGGGGGGGTCAGGACATGGGAGGATGAGTATCCGGTACCGTTTTGTTGGGGTACAATTTGTACCTTCTCTGCGGGTTGCAAGTGCAATTTGTACCTTCTCCCCCCCACCGTTAACATCCTCGCACATGCCGCGGACGTTGTCAAAAGTACAATGTGTACTTTGTCTGCGTGGCGTCGGTACAAATTGTACCTTCTCCGTGGGGCGTAGGTACAATTTGTACCTCGGTTGCGCCTCTCTCCCCATCTGGACTTATCCCCCCATTTGCATCCCACCAAAAATCCCGGAGCACGATGCTTTCGGGCACTTGTCAGAAAGCGCGGTCTTCAATGCTGAGAGGGTGGGGTCGGTTTTTGGACAACGCCGCGCCCGAGTCAACAGGGATCCGTCAGCATTTGGAGCAGCGCTGACCCACAGTCACCGGATTCAGAAATCTTCTGCTTCTGTTTGACGAGGTTTTTAGGTGCTTGAAATTATTTCTGGGACGTGGCCTGGCACATAATCGGAAGGAATTTATCAGACGCGCTAGTTTCAAGTATCCAGATGCCCGAACTCGTCACGCTTTGAGAGTTGGAACCAGAAAATTATTCGTACTCTATCAATTTTTTCCAGGGATGCTTTCTCCTCACTCCTTCTTCTCCTCCTCGTCTCTGCGCTCTCCGCCGGAGGACCTCTTCGCGAGCCAGCTCGGGAGCATCAGCGAAGCCGGCCTCGCCGACCTCGCGAGGCGCGCCGGGCGGCTGGAGGGCTCCGGCGGGTCCGGCGGCGCGCGCCGCGTCGTCGTGTTCGCGGGCGCCAGCGGGTGGGGCCCCAGGCCTGTGAGGTTCCAACCTGCCCACCCTGACTCCAGATCCGCCCTACTTTGGCTTTTTCTCCAACTCAAAGTTGCGTCGGGAATCCACCTATAAGAGGCCGAAAAAAAGTACGGCGGGAATTTCTGCACCCAGTATAAAGTAGGGCGGACATCCACAGAAGTAGGGCGGAAACAGCAGCAGAAAAGTAGGGCGGAAATTGGCACCAGCGGGGCTTGAAAAATAAGGCGGAAATTCCAAGCCCTACTTACGAATTTCCCCAAAGTAGGGCGGATCCGGAGTCAGGGCAGACCTCCGACGTATTGAAGAAATCAAGACGGAGATTTTTCTCGATGTTCGGCCTCTGGCGGCCCTCGCTGGGCCCCGGGGCCGCCGAAAAACGAAGAGCCGGTCCTGGGGAATGGGCCGAGACTTCCGGGGACCCCGCATTGAAAAAAGCACGGATCTCTGGGTTTAGCCTTGGTCACCAGAAAGAGTTTCGAGCACCAGAGAATCAAGGAGTGGCGAAGCGTCCTGGCTGGCCTATGGGCCTAACCAAGAATGTTCCAAGAACTTCTTTTGTGGTCTGCACGGAATGCTCTTGGAACATTTCTGGCTGGGACTGTCTTGTTTTAACACATCGGGCTTATGTTCTGAGAATCTGGTTTTTGTTATTAAAATATTGTGGTGGCCTCCGGCCAGTGCCGCCGATCCGGGGCGCTCAGGGTGATGATGATGATGATGATGATGATGATGATGATGATGATGATGATGATGATGATGATGATGATGATGATGATGATGATGATGATGATGATGGTGATGTGACGATGGTGATGTGACGATGGTGATGGTGATGGTGATGGAGATGGTGATGATCCCGGCCCCTCAACCCCCCTCCTCTCTCCTGTCCACCCCCTCTTTTTCCTGTCCCCTCGCCCCCTCTCTCTCCTTTCCCCTCCCCCCCTCCCCTCTCTCCCTGTCCCCCCCCCCTCTCTCCTGTCCCCCCCCCCTCTCTCCTGTCCCCCCCCCTCTCTCTCCTGTCCC